TCCTTTGCCAGTCCGACGACGATATTGAGCTGTTCGAGACCGACCCCTCCGAGTACCTCCACCGCAAGCTCAACTTCTACGAAGAAGTGTCCGCTCCCGATGTCGCCGCTACAAACTTCCTGGTCACCATGACCAAGGCCCGCAGGAAGCAGACCTTCTCCGTTCTCAACTACATTAACGATGTCGTCAACCGCTACGAGTCTGCTCCCGACGACCAGAAGAACCCAAGAGAAAAGGAGGGTGCTTTGCGCATGATCGGAACTCTGTCTGGTGTCATTCTCGGCAAGAAGAGCCCCATCGCAGACCAGGTCGAGTTCTTCTTCGTCAGACACGTCTTCCCCGAATTCCGCAGCCCCCACGGCTACTTGCGTGCTCGTGCGTGCGACACTCTCGAGAAGTTCGAGGCTCTCGACTTCAAGGACTCCAACAACCTCCTTGTCATCTACCGCAACATCCTCGAGTCCATGGCCGACCCCGAGTTGCCCGTCCGTGTCGAGGCTTCGCTCGCTCTTCAACCCCTCATCCGTCATGATGTTATCCGTATCTCCATGCAAGGCGACATTCCTCAGATCATGCAGCAGCTTCTTAAGCTGGCCAACGAGGTCGATGTCGATGCTCTGGCTAACGTCATGGAAGACTTTGTCGAGGTCTTCGCCGCTGAGCTCACTCCCTTCGCCGTTGCCCTCAGCGAGCAACTTCGCGACACTTATCTTCGTATTGTCCGTGAGTTGATCGAGCGCAACTCGTCAAAGGAGGGCGATGACGAGTACGGTGACTTCTTGGACGACAAGAGTATCACTGCTTTGGGTGTTCTTCAGACCATTGGTACTCTCATCCTGACTCTCGAGAGCACTCCTGATGTTCTGGCTCACCTCGAGACCATCCTCATGCCTGTCATTACCATCACCCTGGAGCACAAGTTGTACGATCTATACAACGAAATCTTTGAGATCATCGACAGCTGCACTTTCGCCGCCAAGACCATCTCTCCTACCATGTGGAACGCTTTCGAGTTGATCCACAGAACCTTCAAGTCTGGTGCTGAGCTCTACCTCGAGGATATGCTGCCTGCTCTTGAGAACTTCGTCAACTACGGTAGCGACGCTCTCATCCACCAGCCTCAGTACTTGGAAGCCATCGTAGACATGATCCGCACCATCTTCCAGAACGATTCTGTCGGTGGTGTTGAGCGTATCTGCGGTTGCAAGCTTGCCGAGATGCTCATGCTAACCCTTCGTGGACACATTGACAACTACATCCCCGAGTTTGTCATGATCGCCATGACTGTACTCAACAACGATGATGTCAAGGTCAAATCGTACCGCATCCACTTGATGGAGACCGTCATCAACGCTCTATACTACAACCCCAGCCTCGCATTGCACATTCTTGAATCCAACGGCCAGACTAACAAGTTCTTCAGCCTGTGGTTCTCAAGTATCGACATCTTCACTCGTGTCCACGATAAGAAGTTGTCTATTGCTGCCATCACTTCTCTCATTGTTTTGCCTGCAGATCAAGTCCCCGTCAGTGTACAACCTGGCTGGCCTCGTCTACTCCAAGGTATTGTTCGTCTTTTCCAGACCCTTCCCGCGGCGATCAAGAACCGCGAGGAGGCAACTCGGGAAGATGACTTTGGCCTTGGCGGCGATTATGATGATGAGGAAGAGGATGAAGAATGGGAGGGTGAAGTTGACTGGACAGCCGAGGAGATTGAGGGCGAGGCAGACGATGTCAAGGACGAAAGCGCTGCTTACCTCGACTTCCTGTCACAGCAAGCATCCAAGTTCAGCTCCATTGGCGACGATGACGATGATGATGAGTTGGAAGAGGAGTCATTGCTTGAGACACCTTTGGACAAGGTTGAACCATATGGCATGTTCAAGCACGCACTTTTCCGTAAGTTCAACACCATATCATAAGCTTCCAAATGTAGAATGCTAACAACACCTCACAGTANNCTCCAGCAACAACAACCTCAGCTCTACCAAGATCTGACCAAGACACTGAGCCCCGAGGAGCAACAAATCATTCAAACAGCCGTAAATCAGGCCGATCAAATCGCTGCTCAACAGGCTACTCTAGCACAACAGGTCACCGAAGGAGCAGCACCGCTCAACGGTGGCATCTAATGACTGAACAAGAACAAAAAAAAAACACTGAAAAATGGCATAATCGAAAAGAAAAAGATTGTGCGGGCCGAGAGCGAAGGCGGCATGAGAAAAATTGGAGTTTAGTGAGCGCGATTGACTGTTGAAGTTTCGTTTCTTTCTTTCTACCAAATATACTATTTTGCCCTTGTACGGGTACCATTCTAGTCACATTCTGGCTCTTTTCCCTTGTACGATCTCAGCGTGGCTCGCGCCTTGCTTTTGTTTTCTGCTGCGCCTTCCTTCCATGTCTGGTCACTCGTTTTTTCTAGAGTCATTCAATCGCCCTTGCCGTATCTTCATGATAGGTTGCTCCTTCTTACTAGACTACGACCGCTTGGTCTTACCTCCCTTTATTCCTCCGATTTGTCTTTCCTCCATCCAGTGTTGAAGCTTTCCTTAGTTCTGGTTACTCAATCATTTCGCGCTCTATGCCCAACATGTAGCTTCTCTTGCCAGAGTGTTTTTTTTTCCCTTTTGTTGTGCTCGTTGCTGTTTCTTTGCTTGCTGAACTTTTATCGCACGTTCTTTCAATCAGGTTCTCCCTCCAGTTCATGTCGTCCAAGCGCATCTTCTTCCTAAAACTTTAGATCGCTCCTTCCTCGGAATATCTTTATAACTGAAACGCGATCGCTGCTTCCTTCTGAGTGTGTGGTCGCTCTTTCCTTCTTAGTCGCTGACTTACTTCCTTCTTGGTCACACTTTTCCGCCGTTAACTTTACTTGCCAAAAACAAGAAAAGAACATATGTCTAGATTGCTCTTTCTCATTCCCATGTTTACATTTCCCTCGCTCACTTTGCGGATTTTTGACCATTCATCTTTTTGCTAGTCGAGTCATCTCTCTGTCTATTTTTCCCTAGAGATAACATGTCAAACGGTATCAGTAGCAAACTTTTTTTATTCTTTCTTTACTTGCTCCTAGCCAATCTCTCTCTCTCTCTGTCTCCCTCTCTCTCTCTCTCTCTCGGTTTTCTCAGTTTGCTTACATCAATTGATGTTAGCGTTTTTTAAAGATTTTCTTACAGAAGTTACTGAGAGTGGCACCCTGGCTGAATTGACGACATCATTTTATTTTTCTAACGAGATATGCTAGTTTATCTGGTTTGCGTAAGCTCTATAACTATCTTATAAGAATGCTTTTTAGGGCATATAAGTTTATTAAGACTTAGTTGCTTTTATTTACTAGTAGAATTATAATAGTAATTTATAGAGACATTTTATAAAGATATAGCAAAATTAGTACAAGAGCTAATAGAATGTTTTACTATAGAATAATAGGATCTACGCTCTTTGCTTCTTATTATACCTATTCTATAGTATAACCGTATATTTATACTATTCTTAATTCTGTAAAAGCGCCCTACCTTTTTTTAATAACTAAGAACTCTTTCGTGCTAAGCTTTCTAGGGTTTTAAAACTCCGAAAATTTTCCCTTCTCCACCAAAATTGCTTAGTCCCCGTTTCTAACCCCCTAATCTACCCACTCACTCCCTCAACATACTCAGAAGAGCAAAAGGGAGAGCCTCCAGACAAAAGATACGACGCCTAAGAGATTCGAACTCTTGCTCCCGAAGGAAATAGATTTCTAGTCTATCGCTATAACCACTCAGCCAAAGCGCCAGGATGAAAGACCTAAGAGCTGCATCAATACAAGAACTCTTGAATGTCGAAATCTCGGCGAGGAAGGGACGATGAGGATGAAAGGGCTAGATCCGTAAAGTCAGAGCTCGGTTGATGGGAAGAGAGCAATTGGTGTATTATATGTATCTCCAAGATTAAGCAGAAGTCATAAGTTCAAGCATGGTATTGTATCGATTGAAGACAGTGTAAAAGTTGAAAGAATCGGCGGAGCCTTAAGCGCTGGGGATGAGCTTGGAGCAGGTAGGCATGAGACTCTGTACCAAACCATGGAACCATTTGGCTGGGCAGGAGCTGTGATGGATCGAACAGAGCATTGAGGTCCAGCTAAAGCCTTGAAGTGACGCGGAAGATACAAGATCTGGCTTGAGATCCAAGGGCATGGATGTATATATGCTTGGCGTATACAGAGAGCAGAAAGTCGGGCCTTCAGCGGATCATGCTTACCAGAGTTCCATGGTCAGTAGTAGATCAAGCGAGGGCTGTTGAAATATACTTCCATCCAAGAGTTTGTTGCTTCCATGGTTTTCCATACAAAGAATCACTCGAACAAATGTGATTGTCGTTGCATCGCTGTACAGTCTGAAGTAGATGTATCGAAGCGGTAGACCAAAGTTGCATTTTCTATGGACTGACGCGATCGTTAGGTCGAGGGCAAGCTTCCAGATTTTCTTTTCTTCGCATGTCAAAGATGGGTATAGAAGCACATGAAAGAATGGGCAAAGACTGCGGCGGAAACTTCTGAATCTTTTTGTCGTGTAAAAAGCCCAAAAGATCTACGGCGCTGACAGTAAATTGATTGGAAAAAGTGGTGGTACTGTCTTTTGAATTCCCGACTTTTGATATATGAGTATATATCGCGGTTGATGTAGATGATGGATGGAAAGAAACGCAAGCACTTGTATGTCGAGAGTGTTGTGGTGTGTGTAAGCGAAGGAAGCAAAGAACGAAGGAGGGAAACGAATGACGAATGTTCGCATCAAGCTGCGCAAAAAGGGAAGGTCGCTGCAAAAAGAGGAAGGAGGTGCGAACTTTTGCCAGTATCAGCAGATTCTAATGGGTCAAGTCGGCGAGATTGGGAACCGCAATCGTCGAACGCATATCAGACAACCATTTCCCGCCACCTCTGGCACACATACAAAAAAAGAACAACCCCTCGTAAAAAGCCATACCAACATTCCATCCCAACCATTCAAAAGAAACACAATTCATCAAGCCAACTTGAACTCTCCCATCCCCCTCTCAAACCCACCAACCTGCAACCTCCCTCCACTAACCCCAATCTCCGCCACTTTGTCCACCAACTCCAACTTCCTCTCTCTAGCCCTCTCGGTCCTCAATTCATACACTGTGGACAGATTGAACAGCAAAGTAGGGAACAAAACCTCGTCTTCCGTGATCAGTGCTTCCAAGGTTTCGGAAGCGAGGACAACATTGTTGGTATAAAGGTATGCGATTGCGAGATTGTGTGTGATTAGAGGGTCTGAAGGGTATTTGTCGGCGAGGGATTGGAGTGAAGAGACTGCAGTAGGGAAATCAGAGGCAGAAAGGTGAGTAAGCGCTTCCAGGACATGTTTTTGGATTTCAATGTTTTGGTCTGTGTTTGATGGTGTTGAGGAGTAGGAAGCTAGACATTTCTTTGCTGCTTGTGTGTCGCCGATCTTGAGCAAGAGGAGCGTCTTTCGAATGCACATTTTGTTGTCTTCGTCTGGACGTGTGGGCTGAGATGATAGAGTGGCGAGATGTCGACGTGCTGTTTCCAGTTCACCCATATCGATCAATTCGCTAGCGACCCTCAGACCAAGATCTGATAACCTGTCTCTCCAGACATTGAATGCAGCGTCATCCTTCTCGACCCTTGCTTTTTGTGCCAGAGTACGGCATTCAGATGAGAGAGCATACAAGCCCATGATAGCTCTCCTATGCAAATCTGCCGTGCCCAGAACTTGAAGCTTGAGAAGTAGCAGCCGCAACGACCAAGGCACTTGAGAGAGAAAGACCTCACGATAAGGTCGTGTGTAGGTACTGCTTTCCCTGGCCAGTAGATCGGACAATGGTTTTGCTTCTTTTGCAGCCAGGGTGGTTTGATTGCAGATGGCGAGGCAGGAGAAACGAGTATACAGCAATTCGAGTATTCTTTGTGTGTCTGACGGTGAGACCGAACCAGACGTCAGGACATCGGTTGCCTTGTCTGCAGCATGTATGAATCGCCGGTCCGATAGAAGAGTTTCAAGATCCACATCTGGAGCTGGTTGGTGTAAGGACTCGAGGAAAGGGGCGGCGATCTGAGTTGTCGGTACTGGAGCGTAGAGGGAAGGTCGAAGGAGGGGTGAGAGGTCTAGTTGCATGGTTCGAGATGCTGGACTCTTGGATCGCGTTCGTATTGGTCTTTGATTCTGCTGCACAGGAGATAGTAGAGACGAGGCAGGCGATGCTGTTCGGACTGGCATTGATGTGGGCGCTGGCGAGGGTGGTAATGGGGTTTGTAGTGCTGGCGTTGGTGGTTGGAAGGTCGGNTCCACTTCTTTGAGTCTCCCTATCAGCGATCTGGTGCATAAAGAAGAGGGGTCCCTCGCGACTCACGATGTGTCCACGTCCAGAGGGCCTTTTGTGCTACGCCGCGGCATTGCGACTAGTCGAAGTGTTAGCTTTCTATTCGTACTGTCAGACACTTGTCAGATCGTACCGCGCCTAGTATCGCTTGATGGGTGCCTGGAGTGGCCCTGCTCGGGTCTTTGTGGTGTCGCCATGTTTCGTGTCGTGTTTGGTCAATAGGAGGGTTAGTTGTGTTTCCTTCACATGTGTATGCGTGACGTTTGGCCTGCTTATCTCCCCCTTAACGCCGTATACCAACGCGCAGATCACCCTGATCAGTACCATAGATGTATCTAGTTGTTGGAATCATCCTACCAGTCCAAGGACACGGGAGATCATAGTTGGATCGTCGGTGAAAAGTTTTCTATGATTACATGGTCGTTACTGTGTCAATATGTTCGCCCGACTCCGTATAGTGCAGAAGCGACAATGCGAGTACGAAAATGTCAAATACTCGAGGCTTGCAGCTTGGGTGAAATTGTGTTTCAAAGACACATATTCATTCGGATGCTTGTATAGTACCCAACGAGAACAAAGTGGTATTCGAACAATGTACGCTACAAGCCGAAAAGAGCCTACAGCAAGAGATGGTCACCCTTAGACTCCGCGTTGCACCCAATACCCCACGACCCTTTCCTTTCGCATCCATCTTCAAAGTCGTAACAGAGTCGATGCACTTCTTTTCTTTAATACAAATTGGCGCGAGCTTCGTGTAACATTAATGCAAGCCTTCGTTTTTTTGATTTCGCATAAAAATCAGTTGCTGTTCTTGGCGGCGTAATTCTTCTTGCCAAAGTCCCATGGGACATATCTGTACNNTCTGTTGGTTTGCCTGTCAGCTTTCTCTTCTCTTCCAGCATATGTGATGTGGATATCCTTACTCAGCATGTGCTGAATCTGGCGGCGCATGGTCAAGACAACGAGAATCAACCAGTAAACAACCAAAACAGGCCAGAAGACGGGCAGGTTGAAAATCTCGCTCCATGAACACAGGAAACCAATGACAATGGCGCGTGTGGCTGCGTGCCAGAACTTGAATTCGGGGAGGCGGCGCACGAATGGCTTGAACTCGTCGGTCGACTTTGTGGGGAGATCTCCACTGCTTCCCTCTTCCATGTCCTCGGCCGACTCGAGACCTGGATCGAACTTGGGCGAGATGAAGGCGAGGAAGAGGTTCAGGAGGTAGATGCCGAGCGAGTATGCGACTNNGTGAGTGGAAAGTGTCAGGGGATCGTGCTTGGATGTGGCAGGCGAGATGTTCGTACCAATATACCAGCCCTGTGCAAAGAAGATGCGCAGAGCGAACATCAAGAAGACGACACCAGTTCCAATCCAGCGGTATGTCTTGTACGGCGTTGACTTGTCCAGATACGATTGATAGAGCNNTGCATTTGACCAAAAGTCTTAGCCTGTATTCTTTTACTCGTGTATAAAGTGTCCACAACACAGCGGCCCAGCGTAGACAGAGTCCATCTCTCTTCCAGATGCCTAGGGGTGGACAGGGGCGATTCAGCTCACCATTCCGGCTCTTGTTGTTTGGGCACTGACGGCCGCAAAGGGCGTATCGGGTTCGGGACTGTCCATGATGGGACGAAGACGATGCGAATCGGGCTGAATCTTGACTGGCTCTATCGCAGTCTGTATGCGACGAGGTTGCTGGAGAGGTCGCGACAAAAAGCAGGGGTTTGTTGATGTGAACAGGTGTTGGCGGGCAACCGCTGGAACTAGCAACGAAAGTGCTCAGCCTCGACGTGGCGGTACACGCACGGACCTCTCTGTCTCTAGCCACCCTGTCACTCCATCCTCCTCCAAACATAGGCAGCAGCATTCAACAATCTCAAGAACATTCGTAATATCCATCCAGAACCCACATAACAACAGAGAGGTATCATCAAGCAGACCGCCCAACCAGACCAGTTCAAACGCCGTCATCACACCAGACCATCCAACATGATCCATTCGTCAAACCATTATAGACATCCCCTCAGTCGTCGAGATCCATCTCTTCCACCTTTGTCTCGAGATCCTCGCCGTACTTTTCGTCGTCAGCGCCCATTTCCTCCCTTTCTTGCTCTTCGCATTCTCGTTCAACCTCCTGAGCCACAAACTCTTCGTAACCCTCGAGACTGCTCTGAATGTGAACCTTGAACTTGATTATGTCGTTCAACATGCGTTCAAGCTCGGTGTGGAGCTCTTCGCGGAGCGCTGAAGATGCCACTGTCAACTGTTCGTATTCGAGGTTGGTGTTCATCTCGCGTTGTTCCATCAACTGAACCGATTCTGTGAGGCCGGCACGCATTCTGGCGAGCTCTTTCTCCATCTTCTCAATTTGAGCGTCCGAGGCCATCTTTTGCGAGTTTGTGATNCTGCTGGAAGTTAGCGACAACGCTCGTCTACTCGAGATTGTGTTTGTACTGACCTCTTTCGTCTTTTCAAACTCATCTTCCGCAGCCCGTACACGGTGCTCCAGCGTCTCGGTCTCGGCCTTCTTGTCTCCAATGGCCTCCTTGATCTTGTCCAGTAAATCTTGATTGTTCATGTCAACCTCCAGAGCATTGTTTCTGCGCTCGAAAATCTCCTTTCGTAGGTTAATCATGTTGGTTTTGAGACTGCCTCGGACGTCCAGGTTGAGAAGGTGATGCGGTTGGTATCCAGTGCCTGCCTCGGCGAGTAGATGATCAGAGTCCTGAGGCTGTTCACCCATTTGAGATGAACCAAATGCTGGTCCTTCGTTGGTCGTGAGGATCAATTCGTATTCCTGACCGTGAGCATTCGGTGCGTCCGGAGGAATTACGCCAATCTCATAAGCCATACGATTGTATCTGGAAACCACAGATTCAAGCTCCTCAAGCTTCTGAGCTGCTTCCGCTTCCTTCTTGGCCACCGCATCCCGAGTCTCTTCCAGTCGCAAGTTTGTGCTTTCAACACCAGTCTGAAGTCGTTTCCGTTCGGCTGTCATGCGGTCGATATCCTGCACAGTAATGCCTTGTTGGTCGACCATTTCTTGCAAGCTGTTGCGATCTTGCTCGGCGTCTGCGAGCTCTTGATCGAGACGCTGCATTTCGCTCTCCAGCATGCGTAAGCGATCTTCGTACTTTTCAACCTTCTTGTCGATGCTATTGTTGTAGTTTTCGAACTTGATTCTGTCTTCCTCGAGAATCTTGTTTTGCTCGTCAAGTTTGGCCAGGCGAGGAGCAGTCTTGCCGAGCTCATCGATTTGGTCCTGTAGTTGCTTGCTCTCTGCCTCGAGAGCCTTGACCTGTTCGAGATTCTGTTGGTTGGAAGCCTCAAACTTGGCAGCCATGGCTTCGACATGTGGTTGTATCAGCCTGTTTATGGCCTCTTCGTCATCATCCTCATCTTCATCATCCACAGACAACCAGGTGCGGTAAGCGTCGCTCAAAAATTCGAAAGTGATGCGGTCGGCCGAGACGTCGTGTCCAGACTCGATGCAAGCTTCGTCGTAGGTGCCGACGCTAAAGTGCTCCATCATTTTTGCGAGTTGCATCATCCAGTGGAGCATACCAAGAAAAGTGAACCAGTTGTTGCCTCCAACAGCAGCGAGTTGTGACTTTGTGATGTTGTTCGCGTATGGGTAGCGGAGTTGTTTGAGGAGCGGCGGAACTTCCTGGTCGATATTTTTCTGGAAGCGATATGCGGGGTCGATGCAGTGGTAGAGGAACTGGAACATCATGTTGAAGTCCTTTTGTGTTGGAGAAGTCATGGGCTTTGGGCCGAAAGTGTGCTTCATTTCCATCTCGAAGTTACGTTGGGCGAGGAACTCCATAAGCTCGTTGGCCATCTGACCACGAGTGGCGGGATCGCGTAATCTGCGAGGGTCTTGGGGAGGCTGATTCGAAGGAGGAGCGGTAGCGAAGAAGGACTGGTGACCCATGGGACCTCCAAAGGCAGCCGAGGGACGGGCAGTGTATACGCTGCTGCGGCGTTGAGAGTTGTCTTGTAGCTGCAGAGCAGGAGCCGGGGTGCTGCTCACGGGCGCATAGGACTTTCTACCTCCTGTGCTGTTGAACATGTTCTGAGTCGAGGGGCGCTTGACGGTGGAGAGGCCGAGGTCAGCGAGGTTGGTGCCCGAAGAAGCGCGCTGGAAGTCGGGCTGCCTAGGAAACCCCGGAGCCAGCGACATGCGGGAACCAGACGTCGAGCGGGCATGCGAGGCGGACTGCATCTGACCGAGACCGAAAGAACTTTGGCGCTTCATGGCCGAGGCAGGCATGGGGATGGCGGAGACATTGTGGTTGATGGGGCCGAGTGTCNNTGTATGAGTGTCAGATGAGGCTTGCAAGCAGTTGTTCGCGACTCGACTGACCTCGCGCGGCCGGCGCACAGAAAAGGGATTCTGATCCTGCGACATGGTGTCGCCTAGTAGATGTTGAATTATGCGATACTGTCGAGAGATGTGATATGTATAGGCCGGCAGTTAGGTGTATGCGCAGAAGATGGGCAGCAAGATGTCGTCAGTAAACAAAAGCTGCCATGGGCAAAAGTGCAGAGTAAACACACCGGCCGGGCATCAACAATGCCAAGGCCGACAGGCACGAGCACGGCAGAGCAAAGCACAGGGTTTCCCCACAGATGCCTCGGTTCGTGCCTCGGCCCTGTCGGCCTATCGCCGTGCTATGACACGCCGCCAGCCGCATCGACATGTTCATGTGCTCTTCTTGTCGTCGACACCTCCAATTCCGTAATCACAAACCTTGGTCTGATTGACCTGCCCAAACTCTCAAGATGGTGCGCGAGCAGCTCATCGTCAGTGCTGTAAGTGAAGCCTCGATCACATCTACCGCATACGATAAGCTAACCATTGCTCACAGGTCTCGTGTATGCAACCAATTCTCCAACTGTCCAAATTATATCAAACCTGACAACCTCTTCCAGTTCTGCAAGACCCATCAGTCGCTTCAGCCCCCGTCGACCAACGCATTGCCTTCCTCCGCTCCAAGAACTTGACCCAAGAAGAAATCGACCTTGCTCTCCAGCGTGCCGGTTCAGAACCCNCCTCCTCACACCCGCAACAATCACAAGTCCAACAGTACCAGTCCCCACCACCTCAGCAATACAGCCAAAACGCATACTGGCAACAACCTCCCCCACCGCCTCCAGAACTCCCACGACGTGACTGGCGTGACTGGTTCATCATGGCCACCGTAGTGGGTGGCTTGGGTTTCGGCGCCTACACCGTCGCAAAACGCTACATCTACCCTTTGATCGCACCTCCAACGCCCCCGCAACTTGAGCAAGACAAAGCTGCCGTCGACGCCTCTTTCGACAAAGCCTTTGCCCTACTAGACCAACTCGCAACAGACACTTCCGACCTCAAGGCCTCCGAGCAAGCCCGCACCGAAAAACTCGACACCGCCCTCTCCGAAGTCGAATCCGTGATCAGCNCAACTCAAAGACGCAAGCCGCAGACGCGATGACGAAGGTCGCCGTCTCAACGACGAAATCCGCGGCTTGAAAGACATGATCCCTGCAGCCATGGAAGCGCAAAAGAAGTCTGCCGATCAGCGATTGACCGATTTGGCTACCGAGATGAAGAGTCTAAAGACGCTGATCAACAACCGTATGGCGGCTCCAGCACCGAGAAGTCCCAATCCTTCTGCTCCCACTTTCAATCCTACCCCGGCAAGCGCAAATACTACAGCAGCTCCTGAAACCTCTCCTGCTGCAGATCCCAGCACACCAGCTGCGGAGACCAAGTCTCCAGTCCCTNNGACCGCTCCTCTACATCTAGCCCCTACGGCCGCTCGATGAACGGACGAGCCGCCATCCCCGCATGGCAACTAGCAGCCAACAAGAAATCCCAAGAAGCAAAGGAAAAGAGCGGCACCCTCGAGACTCCTGCCGAGAACCCTGCTGCTTGAAAAAATAAACACGAAATCCACGAATATCGAGTTAGTTCTATATGTGTAAAACATCCTTTCAAGTCGCATCACGATCCTAAAAAAAAAGATCTTTTTTCCTCATAAAATACCTCAAGAACTTACGATCTTTGAATCTGCTTTTTTTCCACATATTTTTGACTTTCGGTTTGCTACTTGCTTTCGAAGTCATTTCTTCCATTTGAGATCTTGATAGTCCCCATGAACTGGCCGGTTCTTGTACTGTATGAGTATATGCTCCACCCTTTGTTACACAAAAACATCAAAGAAGAGCTCATCCTGAACGCCTTTTTAACACCCTCGTCCTTTTAGTATCGATTACTTTTCCAGATGACACACCTACGCATCCACAGTCTCCCTGATCAAAGCAGCCAACCGCTGATACTCCCTCAACAACTCCTCGACATCCCCAATCCTAAGTTCATCAGCACTCTTCGCATCCACGAATTTCTGAAGCGGTGGTGTCGCCTTCTTCTTCAACCGCGCCAGTGTTTCCAAGGCGTCTAGATCGACTTCTGCCTGTACGTGATTGTCGNNTTGCCGCCACCACTTTTTTTGCACGGACGCGGCGGCGGCCTTTTCAGACTCGGGGATGTATCCCAATTGCTTTGTTTTCTCTGCCATGGCTGCTGATGAGGCGGCGGGTGTGGATGGCGTGGAAGAGCCACTGCCAGAAGCCGAGCGGCCGAATTTGCCAAAGCCGCCGAAGCGAGATAGAGGGTTGATGGAGTTCATGAGGTTGCCCATGGATTCGACGGCGGACTGTGTGGGCAGAGAGGATGAGATGGCAGTGTGATTGGGGAGCTGGGTAGTGGAGTTGGTATTGGGTTTTTCGGCAAAGATGACGCGTTTGCCGCTTCCGGTGCTGCGGCTGCTGTCTACACTGCGTTCGCGCAGGCGGCCGCCGACGAGATTGAGCATGGTGTTGTCGATGCGAGGTGCGGAGAGGGGATCTGCGGTAGGGCTTGAGGAGAGCGATTCGGCAAAGTTTGGGTGGCTGTCCATGGGTACCAGAGGCGGAGAACTGACGAGCTTGCGAGCATCCTCGAGAGTCCTGGGCATGACGATGGGAGAATCTTGGGTTCCGGCTCCTTGCTCCTTCATACGACCAAACAGAAACTTAAAGCTGTTTTCGAGGGTCGAGTTGATGGCGTCGAAGGCTTGGTCAGCGGAGTTCATGAGTTCGTCTCGACCGGCTTCTATCCGTTCGGCTTGTGCTTGTATCAGTGATGAGAAGCGTCGTTGTCCGAAACCAGGTCGAGGTGGATTGCTCAGAGCAGCTTGCGAAGGAAGAGGCTTGATCGAAGTGTCTCCTGGACTGAGATCTGAAGAGACGGCTGATGTTGTCGTCAAACCAGGGGCAAGGGACTTTGGGCTCGACGGACGTGCAAAGTTGGTGGCTTTCTCGGTGTCGGTGCGAGGCTCTGATTGAATAACATTCGGAGAAGCCTCGTCAGCTCTGAGGGAGGCTAGATCGACAGTCTCTAAGAAGGAGATGGCAGCTTCGAGGTTGACCAGGCAGTAAGCGGCCTCGCCATCAACCTTTGCGCGAGCACGGAAGAGCTGGACAAAGTGCAAATTGCTGATGACGTTGATGGTCTCTGGAGGTGAAGTCATCAGAGTGTAAATGAGGGTAGGGAGAACTTCATCGGCAGATGAGGTTGAAGGAAAGATGCGCGATAGTGTTTCAACAATGCTTTTGTGGGCCTCGGTCAGCATTTGTAGCTTGCCCAGAGGATAGCGATGGTCGTCCATGCGTTGCAGGTGATGTCTTGCTGGTGCGAGCAGCTTGAATATCTCGTCGTGTAGCTCTTTCTCGTCCGTTGGTAGACCGTTGCCCTTTGCGGGTTCAATGTCAACATGTAACTCTTTGAGCCCGATACCGACCAGAGACAGGGCGGCGGTTCTCGAGCGAAGCTTTGCATCTCTCTCCTCGTCATCTGCACTCCTGTGTCGGTAGATGCGGTCATAGACCTTTTCACACACGGCTCTTTCAACAGCTTCTTCCAAAGCCAACCTCTTTATTTCCAGATCCCGGCGAGCCTTGCGGCGATCGGCAACCTCTGAGGCTGTAAGCATCTGCTGCTCACCCTGACCGTTTGGAGAGACGGTCTGTTCAGTGCTCAGCTTCCTCCCTTTGAGCGCACCGCCCAAGGCCTTTGTCGCAGCGGACCGCGAAGGAGACTTGTCTCTGGATAAGCGGATAGAAAGAGATGCAATATGGGTCGAGATGTGAGACTCTGCTTGCTCGTAGAAATCTTGGAAAAGTTCAGAGATGGTATCGATGTTCAGGGGGTTGGCGTGTGTCTTGACGGACAGAGATTTGAGGAAGCGCTCGCTCAGACTTCGGATCTCGATGGGGAGTTGATCAAAGGTGGGAGGAGTGTTGATGGCAGGTTCCTCTGCCTTTTCTTCGTCAAGGCTCTCAAAGACATCGCCGTGCGAGAAGGATGTCATGTCTTTTGCTTCGGGGATGGTCTGGATGGTGCTGGCTCTCGCACGGGACGGAGAAGCTGGCAGAGATTCTGGATTCGGGTCCAAGCGGGTGAAAGATCTGGATACATGGAGAGGGCGTGGGCGAGGGGCCTGTTTTGGCGAGGACGAGTTGGACATGTTGGTGATCTGCAGGGCCGGTGGTACTTGTCAACCGGCAAGCTGGAGAAAGTTACGGGAGACGTCGGTAGAGACAAGGGCGGTTCAGTAGAGGTCAAGGAGTAGCGACAGACTCAGGAATCATCAGTCGGACAAGCTATCATGAGAATCGAAGTGGAATATGTCGTGTGCCCTCCTGAAGCATGTCGTGGTGCACCATTGACTCGGACAGACCCCACCTTTGTGTCGTCTGTCTCCAGCCACAGTGGCTTTTGTCCATGACATCGTGCCAAGGCCGAACCCCGGATGTGAGTGAGCATGCGGCTGCCTCCCACTAATGTACCCGCCGTCCGCATGACACACCCTACTCTCCTAGACATCTACAATGTTCTAGTCGCCTCCACCAACCCACCGAGCCCTCTCTTCCTCTCTCTCTCTCTGCAGAACCACAATGAGAAGCAGCTTTGGCTTCCTGCTGCACCTACTCGCCCTATCTCCGCTCGCCGTCGAGCCCGCCACAGCTGCCCGCCGCCAAAGTCCGCAAGAGCCCTTGTTGCTGCCTCCCATCCCCATCGATAACCCTCCTCGGCCCTCACGACAACATGACTTTACCCTGAGGCACATCCTCCACAAGGGCTCACATCAGTATCCGAATCTCCTCCGCAAGGTCGATGTCACTCCCGGCCGCATCCTCGAACACATCCAAGATGACGACGACGACGACGACGACGACGACGACGCCGAGTACGCCGCCACCGTCTCGCCCACAGACTCGTACCGCACCAACTCAGGCCCTATGACGATAGAACGCCTGGCCGATCGCCGCCGCTCGACCATCGATCGCCTACTAGAAGCTGGTCAGATGCGTGGAGAGGCCGTGTCCCTGCCCGCCTCTGCCTGGTCTATGGATGACATTGATGGCCCAAACATCACCGACAAGGAGACTGTCCTCAGTTTTGCTCGTATGGCCTCCAACGCATACGTCCTAAAGCCGCATACGGGTGACTGGGTCGATGTCGGAGGAGGCTTCAACTATACCGAAGACTTTGGCTGGGAGAGCGATGGCTTGCGCGGTCACATCTTTGCTGATACCCAGAACAAGACTGTTGTCATTGGCCTCAAGGGAACCTCGCCCGCTGTCTTTGATGGTGCAGACACTACCGGAAACGACAAGCTCAACGACAATCTGTTTGGAAGCTGTTGCTGCGGTCAGGGTGGTCAGGCCATGTGGAAGCAAGTCTGCGATTGCCAGACATCGGCCTTTACTTGCAACTCGACCTGTCTGGTCAAGAACCTACGGAACAAGGCACATTACTACCAAGCTGCTCAGGAGCTATACCACAATGTCACTGAGCTCTATCCCAACGCAGACATCTGGTTGACTGGCCACTCACTGGGTGGTGTGGTCACCTCGCTTCTCGGTCTGACCTTTGGACTGCCTACCATCACCTTCGAGACATTCCCCGAGGCACTTGCTGCCAGTCGCCTCGGCCTTCCTACTCCTCCGGGTTACCACATTGGCAACCACAAGGAACGTCCTAACACTGGTATCTATCACTTTGGCCACACTGCCGATCCAATCTATGACGGAACCTGCAACACTGCCTTCTCTGGCTGCACTATCGGTGGATATGCTTTTCAAGGAAAATGTCACACCGGAAGTGCATGCACCTACGACACGGTTGCAGACTTTGGATGGAGACAAGGCATCGGCACTCACAAGATCAGCAGTGTCATTCACGATGTCATTCTAAAGTACGACACTGTCCCGAAGTGCAAAAGAGACGAAGATTGCATTGATTGCTACGAGTGGAAATTCTTCGAAAGCAATGGCACCGAGACTACCACTAGCTCGTCTTCTACTGCGACATCGACCACACGTACCAGGACCGAGACATGCAAGACGCCTGGTTGGTGGGGATGCTTGGATGAGACTAGTAGTATCACAGTACCCGTGACTACCACAGAAACCATCACCACCACGTCGTGCCTCTCGCCCGGCTGGTTCGGGTGCAAGGATGAGGTCACAACGACCATCACGACGACCGAAACCAGTAGCATCGCTACCCCTGCCCCAGCGCCAACTGTTACTACAACTTCGACCATCGCTTCTTCCTCTTCTTCGTCCTCTTTGCCTTCTTCGGCTGCAACAATCACAACCACAAGCACTACTTGCAAATCGCCAGGTTGGTTTGGCTGCCACGACTCGACCAGATCCACCAAGCAACCTTCCACAAGCACTTCGAAACTGGACACATCTACTGCCACGCACAAGTGTACATCGAAAGAGTGGTTTGGCTTCATTTGTGTTGATCCCTCTCCCACAGAGTCAAAGCACAAGCACAAGCCCAAGCTCACTTTGTCCCACAAGTGTCTGAGAAGGAATTATGTGGGCAAGTGCAAAGAGTGGAGTGATGACGAGAGCAGCAATGTCAAGACTGATTTATGAGCTTATGCATGACTTGATTTTGGTTGCTGGCGTTCTAGGGGGCTTGCTGGGTAGGGTAGGGTAGGGTAGGGTAGGGTAGGGTAGGGTAGGCTAGACATGTGCATGGGACGGATGTTTTCTTGTAGTTTTTATTCGGTAGCATCTTTTTAATCATTTCTACATCGTCAAGTTTGGCTGGTCTGCATCGTCCAAAGACCGTGATCGGCTCGAGTGAGATTCCAGCTTTCAAGTTCGTCATGCACTGCGTTGAGTGTGGCAATTTTGGCATCGAGTGGCTCTTGAGAGACTTTGTTCTGTTCGAGTACAAGCGTCTTTTTTCTTTTCAGATGCTCATTGGCTTTGTTGTCCATGATATCCTTGACTCCAGCTGCCAGCAAGCGACGATCCCGAGTTCCGACCGGTCGTGGACAATGCTGCGTTCCCTAAGCCAAAAAAAAATGGTGTGGTATAACAGCTCGAGATGCGGTCTCTTGGATATACCTGGGACCCTGAATGTTGTGTGTCTCAACTGGCCGATTCTTCATTCATCGCCTGCGGTCTCTGCTTCTGCTTCTGCTGCGCGAGCCGTAGCTGCTGTAGCTCGGGCTTCTGCGTCTGCCACCGCCTCGACCGCCGCCGCCGCCGCCTCCTCCTCCTCGAGGACTTCCTCCTCGTCTTCTAGGCGGAGGAGTCAGACTTCTGCTGCGGCTTCTGCTGGCACTTCTGCGGCTCGGACTCCTGCTTCTGGGACTGTAACTTCTGTTTCTGGGTGGAGCATCCCTCGCAGGACCAGGACGATAGGTATCGCCGTCATTATCTCCACCACCACCTCTTCTCCTTCCTCCTCTACCTCCTCCTCCTCCCCCACCTCTACCTCCCACAGCAGCAACGGCCATGTCCCTATAACGATGGGGCTCGCCAAACCGATTCGGCGGCGGACGTCTCGCGGGCGGGGATCTACTGAATCTGCGGCGCGGCAATACAATGCTGACGCCAATCTTTGCGCCGTCCAGTTGGCCTTCGTGCATGTGAGCTATTGCGCGCTCGGCGGCTTCGGGGCTGTGGTAGAGGATGTACGCCGTGCCGCGGTTGGTGTTGAAGGATTTGTTGAGCGGCATGTCGAGGTCGGCGATTGTGCCGTAGGTGCTGAAGATTTCGTCGAGGTGGGCCGGGGTGACGTTTTTGTCAGTTTTTCAATGACGATCTGAGGGACGAGGGCTTTTGGTTAGCTGCTTGTTGCGGACTGTGGAGGGTGGACGAGACACTCACTTTTGAGCTGCGAGGCATTGGCGGTGTGGGACTGCGGTCGCGCTGACCGCGGGATGTGCTGCGGGCGCGATGGGAGCGGCTGCGGCTGCGCGAGTGGGCGGGACTGCGCGTGCGTGTGCGAGATCTGCTGCGGCGTTGTGGGCTGGGCGATGGTCGGGGCGAGATTGAGCGGCGAGGCGTGCGCGAAGGCGAGCGCGAAGCTCTAGAGTATGGACTGCGGGATGCAGCATCACGCCTCGGCGTCGGCGATCGTGAAGGCATTGTGTTGTGATGTTGTAATAATGGTATACAGGTGTGAGAAGTCTCGAAAGTGTTTTGGCTTCTGACGTTGCGACCAATTGTCCAAGCTTCTTTGGTGCTTGACTCGCGCAGCAACCGCATGACGTCTTGGCAAGTGACAACCAAAACCACCCGAATGGCCCGTTGGCTCTTTCCTTGTTATCCGCGACAACAATGATATTCGACAACTTTTGGCTGTGTACAGCCCTGCTGCCGGCTGTACTGGCTGCACAACCTTCGGCGCCTGAGCCAGTGGAAGCTCCGTTGAGGAAACTACCCTGGGGTCAATTGAACTTCTTGGCGACAACAGATACACATGGATGGCATGGCGGCCACCTGCAGGAGTGGGTTTGCCATGTTTGAACCTTTGAAGTCTAGTCTAATATCGCCTAACAGGCCTNNCAGTATTCCGCCGATTGGGGTGACTACATCTCTTTCGCTCACCATCTTCGCCAGAAGGCCGACGAAGATGGTAGTGACCTTCTCATCATAGACACAGGCGATCGAGTAGAAGGCAACGGTCTCTACGATGCCTCAAACCCCAAGGGACACTACACGAATGGTGTCATAAAACATCAAAACATAGACATCATCACCTCGGGCAACCACGAACTCTACAAGAAGATCTCATCCGACAATGAGTACTATCACACCGTCCCTAACTTCAAGGATGCCTATATTGCTTCCAATCTAGACATCTACAACCCAGAAACTGGAAAGTTACAGCCTCTTGCACAGAGATACAGAAAGTTTACGACAAAGAACCAGGGCATCAGGATCATGGCCTTTGGCTTTCTCTTCAACTTTCGTGGAAACGCGAACAACACCGTCGTACAACGTGTGGAAGACACGATCAAGGAAAAGTGGTTTCAAGACGCCATTCGTGACAAAGATATTGACCTGTTTGTTGTCGCTGGACATGTTCCTGTTTCCGACTCGCCCGAGTTTGACGCCGTCTACAAGGCTATCCGTGGCGCAGCATGGGACACGCCCATCGCTTTCTTTGGTGGTCACACCCATATCAGGGATTACCACAAGTTCGATAAGATCGCCTATGGTCTTGAGAGTGGTCGTTATATGGAGACGCTCGGTTTCATGTCCATCTCTGGCCTTGCTCACCACAAGAACAGTTCCGAAGTCGCTTCTTTCGCGACCCCCGAGTTCAAGCGTCGTTACATCGACAACAATCTGTACTCACTTCATCGCCACTCTGGCAAGAACGAGACAACCTTCCCAACTGAGATTGGTCGCAACGTATCTGCATCCATCTCAGCTGCCAGAAAACAACTCAACCTCGACCACACATATGGCTGTGCCCCCAGGGACTACTGGCTCAACAGAGCTCCTTATCCTTCGAAATCTAGCATCTTGACTTGGCTCGAGAATGAAGTGCTGCCCGACACTGCCCGGAACTCGACCAAGTCACCTCAACTCGTCATCACCAACTCTGGCGCTGTGCGCTTCGACATCTTTGAAGGCTCTTTCACTATCGATACCACATTCCTCGTCTCACCATTCACAAGCGGATTCCACAGATTGAAAAACGTACCTTATAAAGCAGCAAAACAATTGCTGCAATTGCTCAACAACGAGGGCAAGATCCTACTTTCAGAAATGATGGTCATGAGTGCCGTCCACAGAGACTTGACCAAGCCCAATATCTGGGAACTCATGCCACCAAAGATGCCGTCCACGAGCCGATCTCAGCAAGATATTCCAGACGATATGAACCTCGAGGACGCCCTCAGACGCGAGTCCGGACAAGAAATTATGAACGCCGCCGGACACGGAAAGCACGACCTCGTCCCCGGCTACGTGACGGTCGACGATGCAGGCAAAGACGGCGACGACACAATCCACGCGCCCATCATGTTCTACGATATTCCGAACTGCATCCAAGCAGAAGTAAACTTGCCATCCGACAAGAAGGGTCTCGAGACTGTGGATATCGTATACAATGAATTCATCGAGCGATGGATTCTTCTGGCTCTGAGGTTCTTGGGTGAGAGTTATGCAGTTGAAGATGTAGAGGTTACTTTTGACGGCATGAGTTTTACGGATGTGCTTAGTGAGTGGGTGCATAAGAATTGGGCTTGCTGATTTGTGCTCATTTCTCTGACATTGTGGGATGTCTGTGTCTTTATACCTAGGCTGGTCATTATTATCTCATACACATACATACCTATGCATATTATTCTCTTTTCTTTGACATTCAACGATGAACGAGCAGCATGTGAGGTTGAAGCACCTGGAGTCGTGTTCCTGGCGTGCCCCACCTTTCCCTTGAACTGACGTCGCACGGCAGAAGAGCTCCAACTTCCCCTCATCTTCCTTGTTTTGAGAGCAAAAGTGTCCAAGCATCTCTGCCGCGTATTCAGAAAACACTTACGAAGCTGTGACATGCAACGACACTGAATCATCACATCTCAGCTCGGAATCTGCTTCTACAGGAGTCTAGATCAAGTAACGAAGACCAGAGACTGGGTTGGTGGGCATCCATACCGCTTCAGCCACTGTCTATACCCATATTGATTGATTTAACGCGGGTGGAAGTGGCTTGAATACATCCCTGTCAGGAACGTATGCGGCGTAGATCATGCAAGCAAGCAAAACATCCCTGTCCCGAGTGACGTTGATACTGCATATTCAAGCCTTCTACCTCCTCTTCTTGTCAGATATGTATATATATCTCTCTCTCACATTTCTCTCTTGGTCTCCCGTTCCTGCTTTCTTCTCTCTCAATCATAAACCTTGCCACTACACATATCTCTTTCTAAATCTTTTCTATACTCACAATCATGTCTGACAACAAAGGTATTTTTTCCTCTCCTCTTCTTCTCTCCCACACCCTTCCCATCACTGCCTTCCTCTCTAAATACTGATGCAAAACTCCCCCCAAAAAAGGTGCACTCGGCGGTCTTGGAGATGCCGTGGGCAAGACCGGCAAGGGCCTCACCGATACCGTAGGCAACACTGTCCAAGGCGCTGGCAAAGGCGCCAGCGACACCGTTGGCTCTGCCACCAAAGGCGTCAGCGATACCACAAAGGGTGAGTTATATGCTCGACCCTGCCCAGAAGAAGAAGACAATTGCTGACAGAAGGGAAAAAACCAGGACTTGGAGATAGTGCAAAGAGTGCTACTGGAGGCTCTGGTGGTGGTGCTCCTGCTAGTGGTGGTAACCCCAATCATCTTGGATTGTAAACGATGGACAGCACGGAGGAACTATATGACTGTTATGAGAATGAGAATGAGTAACAAAGTTTACCAAAATCTGTGCCATTACGCATGCGGAAGCTTTGTGTCGACTTCGATGCGACCTTTATTTCTGTCTTGGCACCACTGGGTATGAGAAAATTCACAATGCCTAAGCCACAACAACCAAGCATGCTTTCAGTGGTTCTTTGGGTAAGCTTTGAGGTGGGCTCTTTCATTTAACCATATGTTGTTTTGTTTCTCGTCTCTGTTTCTGATATATCAGAGCCATCGGGATCTTTCTGTTCTGTCTTTTGACAGTAAGGTGCTTGACTTTGGATCATGCATCAACAACAAGTGCCTATCGTCGACGACTCTGACTTCTGCTGGCTGCACGCGCACGTCGAACACTGTTCCTTGCAGTAGGCGCAGGTCTAAAGACAAACTCCTCCATCTCAGGATCCATCTCCAGCAACTCTCGCTCCAGCGACAACAACGGTGCTTCCGGTATCGTGCGAGTAGTGACGTTCCGTTCAGATGTGCGCAGCTTCCAAAACACATCCGGTCGACCACCCCTATCTTTCTCTCCGTCGTAGTCTACGAAAAGTTTCCAGTCGCGTAGAGCTTTTGGTTCGTATAGGCCTTCGTCGTCAACTCCAGGCCCTTTGAGTCGGACACGAGTCCGTACTGAGGAATGCATATATTCGTGTGTTGATTGCAGTGGAACATCGGTTTTGCGGCCATCATTCGGATCCACGACGTAGTATCTTCCTGGTGTTCGTGTTGTCGCGCCGCCTATGGCATATATTCCAGTCATTGAGTCGACGATCTTTCCGAATGACCATGAACGTGGTTTTTGTCTTGTCTCTTTGTAGTATTGCTCAGTGTCGTCTTGCTGGTCCAATGCATAGTCCAGATCCATGTCAAGGAACGGCGCCACTTGCGCCATCATCCAGGCTAGAGTGAGGTTGGCGAGTTCCTGGTCATCTAGCCCTCCGCCCACATTGGAGTGGACCCCTGGAAACCATACCTGCCGAAGTACAGTCGTATTGCCGGGCTTCTTCTCCCACAAAGCCGGCGAAAAGGCAGATCTACGTTCGTCCAGAGCTAGGGCTTGGAATGCATACTCGACACAGTCCAACAACCTTGTGTCGTAAAAGGACATGCGCTTACTTGCCGAGCTTTGAAGTCCCAGCTTCTCCAGCCAGCCAATCCTTGGTGTGCCTAATGAGCCTNNTTGAACAGTCAAAAACTATGACTTTCGTGTTGAAGATTTGGACTTACCAACAGTGTCCCAGACACCGACAACTTTTATCGGGACGCGGAGTCTTGTCATACCCCTCCTCTCAAGTTCATGCCGATATCTTGGGTCCATGACACTGGGTTTGTTTTTGAAGGGTTTGTTGGGGTGTTTTGGTTTGTAGTCGGCATCATGTCGATGCTGGACATCTCTAAAGATTTCCGCGAGATAAGGTAGACCAGCCTTGGTCAGCATACCGATGTTATCAATCAGACCAGCTATCGCACGCGCGGTAAAACTGCTCAAAGTTAGCATGAAGGCCTCAGGACGGTGTAGAATCAATGCCTACGCTCCACGACTGAAGCCAAACAAGAAGATCTCATCACCAACCTCCCAGTTTGTCGCAAGATAGCTGTATCCTTCTCGTACTGCTTCGGACAAGCCTGTATAATATGATCAGTACTCCTGGCTCTGAAAGCATGATACCACCTTTCATTGGTATACCGAGGACCTACCTTGACCAGTTGCTCCCCCATACACTCTATCGACAATACCACCCTGACTTCCNTGTTTTGTGTGAGAATTCTCCTTGGTGATCAGAACATTCTCACACATACCTATGCCATAATGGTAATACACAATTTGTGGGATCGAATCTGAGCTGGCTGGTTTGATAGCTCGTAAGATCCGGGTAACGTTACTCGCCAGATCGTCGCCGCCTTTCAAGCTGCCACTGTCGGAATTGAGCCACGTGCCTAGTTTGTGATCCATCAGTATCACATTCACCTTGTACAATCGATGATCACCATGCGATGAATCTTGAAGATTGCGGAGATGATATTTCTTACCATCAGAACATATTATGAGGCGCTTGATGGATGGATAGCCCGGTCGGCGGATGAGCCGAGTTTCTCTGGCTCTGGATCCATCGCGACGGTCATAGTCTTGCATCTACACGACAGAGGATAACAAATGCCGCCTCGGTCTGGAAGCTACATCCGCCGGATAGACTATCTGTAGTGCAAAAAGACGGCTGGTGGAAAAGACTGATTCGCACGTCGCGTGTCGTTTGGGAGTGAGATTTGCCCGCCCCGCACCATTGCTTTGGCCTTCCATCCACACGGAAAGCACGAAGTCCATCGTTCTTGCCTCTGGACAAACTTCTCATTACAGATTCAAGTGATCAACGTGGAAGGTCAAAAGAAGAAGATATGATTTATTTAGGTGCAAGAATGTAAAATCTAACCACCATAACAAGCACAGATAGTCGTGGCTATTCTTCCAACCCACCAAAACCGTGACAAAAGCCATACATCAACACACAAGAGTCATGCCGATCCTTGTTACTGACCAGGATCATTGACAACGTTGTTGATCCAGTCCAGGCAGTCGAATGAAGTCTTCAATGGCGCTGTTCAAATCTATGCCTGCAGAAGCATTGTCAGCACTTGTATCTATAAAAAGGAAGAGAGCCCACCTTTGTGTTTGCAGAGGCGGAAGAGCTCCTGGTGATGGTGATTTTGGTGGTGCAGGATGTACTTGAAGCAGCAGGGGATGAGGCGCTAGTTACCTTGTTGTCGCCAGCGACACACTGGGAATAGTAATCGTTCATGACCTTGCAGGTCCAACCGGAGACACATTGAGTGGCGCCGGTGAANGCCCTACCACCGCACTGACCGTAGGCAGCGACAGAGCCGCTAGTCGAGCTGGAAGAAACGGGAGCGGCGCTGCTGGACTTGACAACAGTGGCCATGGTAGTAGGCTTAGCAACAGACGAGGCGGGCTTGGTAGATGTGATAGGGGCCTTCGCAGGAGCACTCGAAGAAGAGCTGACAGCCTTCTGGGAAGTGACAGGAGCTGCGCTCGACGAGGCTGCCTTGGAGCTAGCAGGTGCGGCACCAGAGCCTGATCCGCTGACAGTGAAGTCAATGCAAGATTCATAGGTCTGGTCAACTGATCTGGCATCCCAGAAGTGCTGGAGCACACAAGCACCGGCGGTAGAGCACTTGCTGCCGAGGTTCTCAGGAATGGTGATGTCGAAAGAGGTCTGGTCGGTAGGGATGGACGAGGCGCTGGAAGCGTAGACGTCCCATGAGATCAGGGGAGTACCGATGACAGTGTTGGTCGCGGTGTCAACGATGGAGACGTTGGCAGTACCCTCGTGAGGAGCGCGAACGTCAAACTTGATGGGGACCTTCTGGCCGGGAGTGTAAGTCTGGACAAGGTCCTTATTGTCTTCATACTTGAAACCCTTGCAGAGCCAGATTCGACACTTCTCAGCGTTGTAGTCGGTCTGAGTCTTGGCAACCTGAAGTTCACCCTGGATGTTGCCGTAATTGTCACCAGCCTGGTTGTAGTAGACTTGTTGACCACAGGCAGCCTCGAAGGCATCACCGGGCATACGGGCCTTGGGAGAGGTGAGGAAACCGTGGCCGCGAACGGTGGCGGCCATACCGGCAATGGCGAGGGCGGTAGTAGAGTACTTCATTTTGATCGTTGGAAAAGGTTGCAAGTCGAAAATTGGGTGGTTAGAGAATGAAGTGGCTGGACGCAAAAGCACTCAGTGCTAGATGTTGAATGAATGAATGAATGTCGGTGGTCACAGACCGTGAAAAAAAAAGAATGAACACTTGCAAAAGTTGCGATTGAATTTGAGCAAAGAGTAGTAGAGAGCAAGCAGAAACCTACATATACTCGTAGTGCCTTTACAAAAGGTAGAGCCAGGAGACCAGGGATAGGGCAAGATTATTGTGGTGTCCACTGTTTCATGCAACGACTTGAACTGCACGCGATGCTGACAACCCTGAACCGATCCCGAAGAGTGCAAGCTAGATACTGATATAGTCCAGCTCGCTTCTGTAGGGTTGTCGTAGATAGATGACAAGGTGCGGCTCTCGTGCGAGCGCCGCGACTCCTAGCTCATCTCGCGCGTCGGACATCAGCGCCAACAATCGTTCCTGACGCAAGTCAACGATGTAACCGAGCAACAATCACATAACGCCATATTTTCGAAACGCGGTTGACAAGGAGAAGACGTTTTTGGGCAGGTTCGTGCGGTAGGGAGGCATTTTGCCCTTGTTTCACCTTAAAATCTGGGTGGGCTCGATGCCAAGCAACATCAGGGCGGAATCTGCAACCATCACCGGCAGATCCACTTCGACCTCGAAGCTCATCTCGTCAATCGAATTCCAGCGTGTCGCTGTATCACATCTGCGAATCCATCAACGACTGTGCATTTGCGGACCTGTCTAGCATACCGAGATTGGTTCCCCTGTGCTCGAGACAGCTTCGTGTTTGTGCCGTATACCGAGAATCAAGAACTCCTCGACGTCAACCACAGGTGATTCACTCCGTCATGGCTCCAGTGATAGGACTGTCGCACATCACGAACCCGGTTGCGACGCCCGCCCAACTGCAGACGACAGCCTCTCAGCTCGACAGAATCCCTGCTGATCTGGAGATCTCGATAAAGTTTGAGGGCTCAAGACTGATTCAAGCCGCTGGCATTCTGTTACATCTTCCTCAAGAGGTTATTGCAGAAGCCATCATCATATTTACCAGATTCTGGCTAGGCCCTGAAGGCGGAAGCTTAGCTGAATATGCTGCCAAGGTATGCAAGTTAAAGGATGGCGGTCCGGGATGTGGCCTCACATGGCTATCATCACTGTGCAGCAGTCTATGCTCGCGCCTGTGTCCTTCTGAGTGTAGGCACCACCTAAATCCAGTCGTTTAGGGCTTTTGCTGAACATTTGACATGTTACGACCAACCTTCCATGCCATCGACCCAAAAAGCCTACGTGTTGAATCCTGGATTACATCCTGGCCGCCACCCAGAACCACATTGATTTACTGCTTGCTGACTGCGATATTTAGGATGTGATTGCAGCCTCAATTTATCTGGTGACCAAGCCTTCGGCTCATCCAGTAAGCCCCAGACGGCTTCTTAGCGTGCTAGCATATCTGAACAAAGTCCGACCATCACTCGATCTCGACTCAGCAAGTCAAGTCACCCCTGAGGAGTGCTTTGTCTCGGAAGGCTCTTATCAAGACGGGCGGCTGGCACTGATCCACACTGAAGCGCAAATGCTTCGTATTCTAGGCTATCAGACCCATGTGTCCCTCCCGTACGCGATCTGCATCAATTATTTGCAAGCGCTGGATGTATTCACAACGTCTGAGAATGGACAGGCTCTAGCGAAAAGGGCATCTGCACATCTCAACTCGGCTCTGTTCAGTCCACAGCATCTTTACCTGACACATCAACCTCCAGCCCTCGCGACGGCAGCTATCTATCTTGCTGCCAAAGAGATAGGAGTCAAGCTGCCCGGTGAAGAGTGGTGGGAAGTTTTTGATGTTGACAGAGAGGAGCTGGGCTTTTTGGTGGTCGCCTTGATTTCTATGGAAGGTTTCATCGCTGAGGAGGTGCAAAAGTGGACCAAGGGCAAGATTCCATTGAGCCTCGAGGACACTCAAGCTTGGATCGACGAAGAATCACGGGCTTGAGTGGCGGGTTTGCTACAGGTTATGTTTGCAACGCGTTCCAGCATGCAGCGGTCGACTTTAGGCCATTGCTGATGGCAATCCAGGAAGCTGTTAGCACACTTATGCCTTGTCTCAGATATCTAGAGACAGTCCACGAGATGTTGCAAAAATAACAATGAAAACATATCCCACAAAAATAACATGTCTGGTCCAGAACAAAGATCTCATCATTCACTGTCATTATCATTCGATATCCCCAGCTGTTCTCCTCCCAGACTCTGCCGCACTTTTAACTAGACCAAAGAATGTGTCGCCACGCAAACACCAACATAACCCCCTCGCAATCCTCCAACCATGACTCCATCTCCACCAAATCATCAGAAACACGACGAAAACAAATCCCTCTAGCCTTCACAAATACACAATGGGGTAGACAATACACCGCAAACCCAAACTGGTCGCATGAGAACTTGGGAAAAAGTAATCCAGCTATCCGCCAAAGATCGCGGTATCACTCCGACGCAGATGACAAAATCGATGACTCTGCAACAGTATCTACATCTTTGCATGACTTCTCTAAAGCAAAGCCTGGAGGCACACCAACTGAGAGAGAAACATCGACTACTTCACCCCCAACGCTCACATCAGTATCGAGAACTGCACCACTAACCCACAACAAATTTCCTCAAGAATACTCTGCAATGGCATCTTGGAACCATTTCCGCCACACCTTTTCCCAAAGCACAAGTCCTACCTCTCCAAACCACCCAGTCACACAATCAGAACAAGAAGAAATTGGTCCAAGCGATCCATGGCTAGGGATGCTGATGCAATGGGACGACTTTGAGCAGTGGCAGTTGAAGATACTGGAGCGATCGTGGTGGTCGTGTGGTACAATTTGAGTGTCATTTGTCTTCGCAGAATTGAGATTGAAATGTGAGTTACAGAAGTGATGAGGGCTTAGAGTTGGGATATCTCTCAACCCATGTGACTTCATAGGAGATGTATAGCTCCCGTCTAGGTCTTGAAAGGTCTTGTACATGTTTTGGGTCTTCTAGAGCTATCGGCTATCGAGTGATCGGAAAGACAAAACAATCTGGTCATGGCCGTGTGTGCTGTGAGTAGGCAGCGTGGAAAAAATCTCTCCAAGGTGTGTGTACTACGGAGATGGGTATATTTGATGACTACCATTGATGGAAGGTGCAATCAAACGATAAAAGACACATGGCAGTCACCCGGCCTCTTGTCAGGACAGGTACAGTACATCACAAGCCATGATCACAATATCGGAACAACTTATAAGACACTGGAAGTTTTCAATTGCACAAGCCTAGAAACAAACAACACCCAATCGAAAATGCCCCCAAACATGGCAAGAAACGGCAACGCAGTAGAAAACACCATTAACACCGTCCTTTTTGTACAGACACGAATCTCTCTCTCTTCGCTTCCCTCACTGCTTTTGTTCCTGGTCGCAAGTGAAGGAGAAAGGTCAAACAGCGACAGACAGAGAAAACGCTTTCCATCGGAAAGAAGGGGGTTCCTTGACGAGGTGATGGAAACAGAAAAAGGTCTTTTGGGTATCTTTCTCGACTGGGAGCACACCGAAAATTTCGTACAAACACAACAAGCCACCCCAGCCAACCTTTCCGCATGTCTTCTGGCGGATAAAGGCTCCGTGTCAACTCTTCCTGTTTCTTCCGCAGCGTGTCCAGATTCCACAAAGGAACCCGAGATCTGTCGTAGGGCAATGGCGGGCAGCTCTTCTTTTGAATTTTCTCATTGACGACATGACGCATATGCAAAAAGGGAATCTTTTGAAGAAAAGGACGAAAAAAGGAATTTTTGGACATTAGAAGAAGATGGACACCCCGATGCGACGACATTAATCAGACTTTCGCTCATGCGTCTGTTGAAGCGGCCTCGTCAATGGAAGGGGTAGCCTTCGAGACGGGCGGCGACCCAGCGTTCGAAGGGGGTGATGCCACATCGTCGGCACCCTCGTTCTCCNNCTGGTTCTCAAGGGCGGCAAGTGCACTGCGAATGTTGTTAGTCATGAACGAAAATTACGACGGCAGGATGGATGTTGCTTACCTGAAGGCGTTGACGTGTGTTGTCTCCTCCTTCTTCTGTTGGGAAGGAGTGCCTGATCTTGAGGTAGGTCCGGAACCTTCACCATCTCTAGGGGGNCCAAGGCCCTTGCGACCACTACCACTGCGCGAGCTGCTAAACAGCGAGCTGGGGCCGAGCTGAGGGCCAAGACCAGCGCTGGCCTGGCGTTGAGAACCACGGGCTTGCAGACGACGAAGATCATCCATACCGACCTGGTTGCGGGGGTAATCCGGAGGAGGCATGCCACCGTGTCCAGAGAATGAGCGGGCGTCACCGCGACCCATGGGGGCACGACCGTGACCACCACGGTTGCTGTTGTTGCGCTGTCTCTCAAGTTCCTGTGCGGCATGTGCAGCCTCAGCCTCGGCGTGAATCTCCTCGATGGTCTTGGGTCCCTTGTCAGCATCCTTTGATCTCCAGTTGTTCTTCCTGAGGTCGATGATATCCTGCGAACATGTTAGTCAAAGTTTGTTTGCTTACTCTTAGAAACAACTTACCATAAGCATGAATCTCGATCTGCTGGGCATGTCCTTGTGTTGGTCAAGAATGCTTCCAACACGCTCGTAGTAAACGTTGACAAGCTGGTGTCCTTGCTCAGTGCTGTCCATTGTGGCACCAACAGCCTTGAGAAGCTTGGACAAGTTCTCGACGGCTGATTCATCGGGCTGACCCTCAAAGTTCAGCAATCTCAACACACACTGGTGCATAATCTTGACTGTAAGCATGCCGAGCTTGTAGAGCTCGCCGATGAACTGAATAAGACCAAGACCCTTTCTCTTGGCAGCGGCGGCGATATAGTACTCATCGGACAGAAGAGTAGCCTCCTTACCTTCGGGCATGGGAGGAAGGTTAGCCTCCCAACCACGCTCGAACTCCTCTTGACAGCGGTTGAGCAAATACTTTCTGAAGAGACCACCACCGACAACGGGCTGACCGCTCCTGTCACGGATTGTCTCATCAACAATCTCGTTGCTCATGCTAGTCAACATCTTTGAACAGAACTTGGCGTAAGTGCCGGCCCAGTGAGCTTCGTCACAAGCCTTCTCGAAAGTGAGCTGAATGACTTGGCGCAGAGTACGACCGTCAGACTCCTTCTTCGACTGGTTGGCAATTTCGATGATTTGGTCCGAAATCTTCTCGAAGTTCTCGGGGGTCATCTTGTTCAGAGCGGCCTTGACCTTACGCTGGACCATGTCCGGAGGCATTTGGCCGTCAACAGGTGCAGCAGCTACGGCAGGTGCGCCGATACTGCGGGCGGTCCATCCACTCTGCGACTTCTCGAGGGGCTTGAGGTCCATACCAGCGGTAAGAGGCATGTTCTTGGCTGCGTTGGCATCCTCTCTGTCATGGTGACGCGAGGGGTTACCGCGCTTGCTACCACCTCCTCTGCGAGAAGTATTAGTTCTAGGCGAACCAGGGCCGCCCATGCCAGCCATGGTTTGAAGAGAGTTGGTACGGCTGAGAGAACCCTGGCCAGGGAAGGCACCGCCACGTCCCATGCCCATAGGACCACCTCTTCCAGAGGAGGCATTGAAGCGGTCGGCAGAAGTAGTGCCGGCGGGAAGAGTACGAGTGTTGCCACTGGCGAAGGCGCCCATGGCACTGAACTGGCTAGGACCTCTGTTAGAAGGCTGGCGGCCGCCCATGCTTGCACCACCACGGCTGTTCTGGCGACCAGAGCTGTCACCCTCACCAAGGGTCTCCTTGACTCTCAGATCCCAGTCAACAGTGGGCTTCTCCTTGAAGACGCTCTGGAATTGGATCAAGAAGTCCAGATCGTACTCCTTGCCAACACGCTTGCCGGTTTGGTTGAGAGCGGGGTTGGGGGACTGGACGCCCTCGGGGTAGCTGAATTGGTCGTTCTTGATCTCGAGGAAACGGGCAGACTTGAGCGACTGCATACCAGCAGTGGGTTGTGCGGGCTCGACGTTCTTGGTGGTATCGAGCTTGAGGTTGGCAGGCTTGGACTTTGCAGGTGCAGGTTCGGCGGGAGCTGCAGCCTCCTCGGTAGCACCAGGGCCGAGAGTGGGCTTCTTCAGGGAAGCGAAGAGCTTTGCGTCCTCGGCCTTCTGCTCGTCAGTCTTCTCGGCCGATGCTTCGCCCTCACGCTCCTTCTCCTTCTTGAGCTCGAGCTCCTCGGCCTCACGCTCCAGACGCTTCATCTCTTCGTCGGCCTTGTCGGCGGCCTCCTTGTCCTTTGCGGCCTGGGCCTCCTTCTCCTTGTTTCTCTTCTCTTGGAAGGCCTTCTCGCGCTCTTCCTCGAGACGCTCGGCCTCCTCCATCTCGGCGATCTCGCGCTCGATGCGCTCGTCTTCCTCACGCTTGAGACGGGCAGCTTCGTCCTCGTCGGACTTGGCCTTGTCGGCAGCCTCCTTAGCGCTTGCCTCCTCGGCGGCCTTCTTGTCTGCCTCTTCCTTGTCCTTTGCTGCCTTGGCATCAGCCTCTTCCTGCTCCTGCTTGGCTTTGGCTTCGGCCTCTTCCTTCTCTTGAGCAGCCTTCTTCTCGGCGTCGTCCTTGTCCTGGATAGCCTTCTTGTCGGCATCTTCCTTGTCCTGGGCGGCCTTCTTCTCGGCCTCTTCCTTTGCGCGCTGAGCCTCGATGTTACGCTTGACCTGCTCTTGGAATGCAGACTTGGTTTCAGCGTCGGTCTTTGTGCTCTTGCTCTCGGTGCGGTTGTGTTGGACGCTAGGAGTGCGAGGAGGAGGTGTAGGGGCGGAAGAGACAATGGCGGGCGACTGAGGTGCAGGTGATGGCTTCTTTTCGAAATTCAACTCCTCACCCTTGTCGTTCTTGATGACAATGGCCTTGCTCTTAGTCTTGGTAGGGATCTGGAAGTTGGAGGATACGGGAGTAGGTGTGCCAGGAGCGGCAGGTGCTTGAGAGGCGCTGGGGGCTGAGGCGGTAGGTTGACCGACGCTTGAACCAGGTCGCTCGGAAATTTGGGAGCCGCTACGTGACATAGGGTTGTGGTAGGGAGAATTCATGTGAGCAGGAGGGCCACCGTAACTAGCGGGGTATGGCTGGTTGGGACGAGGGCTGGGAGGAGCACCCTGTTGGTATTGTGCGCCCTGACCGTAGTAGGGAGGGTAGAAGCCGGAGTAGGGGTCGTACGGGGTCTGCATGCCATACAGAGCCTGTTGCTGAGGATTGAGATGCGGCTGGCCGGGGTACATTTGCTGGTGTTGCATGTTCTGGGGCATGAAAGGCTGTGCGTGTGCCATGGCGGGGCTGCCGTTTCTGCCACGGTAAGAGCCACCGGGGGAGGGGGCCATAGGGTACTGGTTCATGCCGGCCTGGGGAGGCATGTTGGCAGGGCCGCGTTGCTGGAAAGGCATAGGGCGGTGGCTTTGAGCAGGCGACTGGGGGTTGTAACCGCCGGGAGTGAAACCGCGCCCGCGGCCGTTGCCGGGCACAAAGTTACCGCGCATGCCGGCGTCGCTGTGTTGTGACTGCGTTGAAGGACGGCGCATGTGGGCGGGCTGACTGGAGGGAGTCAGAGGAGCGGCGTTGTTCTGTACGACGTGGGTCAGCTGCGGTGCTACGTGGACATTTTTCGTATCGAGACTGACTTCACCGTTCTCAGCGCCAAAGCTGCCAAAGTTGGGGGCATTGTTCTGGCCGGGGAGGTTGGCCGGNGGCTTGCCACCGCTGGCGGCGGGCTGAGGGATGGGCGAGGGCGAGTGTGAGGGAGAGATGATGTTGGGGTTGGCGGCGGCGAGACTGGGGGTGGTCTGCTGGACGGGGACGCTGGTCGCGATGGCGGGAGAGCCGGTGGGGCCGTTCATGGAGCCAAAGTTGATGTTTGGTCTCGAGGACTGCGTCTGAGGCCCGCCGTTGGGGATCTGTCCGGTGGTGCCAGAGGCGCTGATGATGACTGAAGGCTTCCTGCCGTGGTCGCCATTCTGCATGTTGGATGGCTTGGAGGATGGTTGAGGGGCGTTGTTCTTCAGTTTGCTTGCATTCTGCGACTGCTGTGCCGTCTTGTTGGCGATGCTGGCGTAGGAAAGCTGCGCCTGCACAGCTTTTTGCTGTGTGGAAGGAGCTGCGGATGCGGCCTGGGGCTGGTTTTGCGCAGCGCTTGGGTTTTCGCTGGTCATTAGACTGGCGGGTTTGACTGTACAGTCGAGGGTGATGAAGGTCGACAGCGAAGGTGGTTGGAGATTTTGCCTGGCTCCCGTAAATTCGAAGGGGGACGTGCGCTCCGTTTAAAAAAGACGCGCGCACCAACAAGTAAACTCGTCCACCAACTGCTTGCGATGCTGGAGAATGCGCCGATGAGATACACGCTATCTTGGTCGAACGCGATCAAGAATCTCTATCGACAAGAAATGTGTGACTGACGGACAGCTATTAAGACTGAAAAGTGAATGTCTCGATGACTGCGTTTGTCTGTTCGGGTTGGGGAAAGCCGCACTAGGTTTTCGCACACGACACTACTTATCGAAAAGCTGTCGTTTGATGCTGATGACCACAAGAAGAGGGCAGTGATGCGTCTTCTTCTAGGCGTTCAATTTCGAGTATAGTGTGAAGTATTGTCTCAAGTGAAGATGAGACTCTGAGGACAAAGAAATGCTCTGGCTATCTATATGCGTCGCTCCTTCTCCCTCCAGCAGCTCAAAATCGACTCCGCAAACTCACTCGACTCACTATTTTCTTTTCGACCACTCAGCATGCTCCTTGGCTTTTCTCTGAGTCTTCACTCCCATCCCGGACTCATAGCAATTGGTCTCGCTCAGACATGACTCTTTCCTATTCGCCAGTTCTGCCGGCCTTGACATTTCCAGATCGGTGGAAGAGAAAATACGTCTTCAGCTGCACACTGCCGTCATTGACGGCGTGTTTTCAGATGTCCATCGCATGTCTTGACGGCGAATCAGCTTCGAGCACAGAAATCTTGGAGGCGTTGAGAACGGTGTGTTTAACGTGGCAACTGGAAATCATCTCCCAAGGAGAACTTGGTTCTGTCCTTCAGCATTATAAAAATGTCCTCTGCGAACTCGATACAATTGCTGAATGCTGCTTCCCAGCTCACACGAAATTCATTCGGTCGTTTTCTTGCGATCCTTTACTGAATTGGCAGCATCAGCATACAAGCAGAATTCGGCATGTTGATTTCCACCGTTGATTTTCATGTGATCGGCAAAGATGGAAGCTTCACTGAAACGTTCTTTTTGTACCAAGTTTGTCGTGACTGTTTTTCAGCACAACTCTGCCATTAAACAGCATATCGTATCAACCTGAACAACATGGCTCTAACCATGTTGGAGCGCCTCCCCCTGACGGCAAATGTCACGGTCCCAATTGGCCTCTCTTTGTGGCTGTCCGTCAATTTCGTGCAATGCAAGTCTGTCCGCGGAAGCTTGCATGTCAAACAGATGTTCATCAAACGGTCGTCCGGTGTGACCCTGCCGCCCCGAGCGGATTCGATTATACTGGTCCTTTTTTGCTCGACTGTACGTACCCGTTCATGATGATGGCGATTCGACAATCTGGTACTCGATATTTAATTCGGCCTGCGCAAGAACTCTTTCATACGTGCTGGTTCTGAGGGCGGTCTACGGCCTTGAAACGCTGATTGTGTGAACACAAGCATGCCTCAAAAAAGCCAGCTCTTAACGTGGTCAAGATAATGGCCCGAAGTCCGACTTGCTTTCAGGCAAGGAAATGCAGTCGGACAATGTCAGAACATAATCAAAGGCTACAAGATCCATATACTGAGGTTTACCTACTTGGGCAGCCTATTTTGAGATCAAAACAACCACCATAAAAAGCACAAAGCACGTGCAATCATTCCCGTCTTTTCGCCCTAACATCAATGCTCTAAACAATAATGTCAATCTTGCAGCCAGCCTCACAGCCAGCCTCCTGCCGCCTTCCGAACAAATTTACCAAAACACTCGCAATCTCGGGACGGTCGTGAAGAAGGATCAACAAGAATTCAGACAAGCAGAAAGAACGAAAGCGACGTTGCAACCTATTTCCGCCCACAGACCGCCCGTTCATACAGAAAAGCCCAACGACAAAAATACACGACGGATCATTCAAACGCACAGATGTTCAGGCCTGAAATTTCGAAAAATCGCAATCATTCACAGATGGACGCTCGAGCGCTGTTGTTGACTAGCTGGTGTTTGCCTCGTCCAGATCGCACTGTCAACATCGCTTGGACGTGGTAGACGGCGAGTCAGAGGAACGCCTGGAGCAGCTCTTGGTTCTGGTGTAAGTTGGCCCTGCCGCCGTTGCTGTCTGAGCGTATTCCGACGACAAGTCGTTCTTCGGTGACACCGTGAACCTTCGTCTCATCCTCTATTTGGTATGCCCTTTTTCTGTGTTTGTACTATTTACGGGCGTAGAAAGGCAAACAGGTCAGCAGCTCAGTGCCCAGCTTAGGGCCTCCAGCGTGTAGTCGACCAGCAGAACCTTCTCCCTCACTTTCCGTCCTTTTTACGAGTCACGCAAGCAACAAGATATGGTAGCCCTGAAGTCCAGTCTCCCGTCTTGATCTCCCGATATACAACAACAAAACACCCGCGCGTGATTTGATTCCGTTCTTGGAATCTCGGGAGATCTTGCATTCCGCTCTTACCTATATCACAGACCCGTGTCTGGCCAAGCAAGTGCAACGATGCTCAATACAACGACGGCACGGTGTCAAAAAGTAGGACACAGAGGGATGACTAACCCTTGCTATCTAATTCGCCACAATGGTAGGTCTCTCTAGATGGTGGCAATCCCGGGATGTGGTACTTCCGCAGAGTGCAAGGTCGGTCGGGAAGGATTTGAGAGAAGATGCAAGTGCAAGGGATGCTTGATTCGTGCATTCGCTTACCCAACATCATCAACGCGATCGAAGAGACATGCTTGAAGAGTGTTGAAGCACGTGTTTCTTGCCTTCTTCTCAATGTCAAGGTTGCATCGGCTGAGGTTGCCGTGTTGTTGAAAGAACCCACGCGTGCTTTGACAGTCTGCCTCAGGCCTCCTACATCCGCCAGCCGTCCCGATGACTCCGTCTGCCCTGACCGGTGCTTGGACAGCTGAGTTGTCATCCGCGCTTCCTACAGAACCTTAATCGCCCATCATGTCATGCACATACAGTAGGATTGCAACAGGCATCCCAGCATTGCAGCCGCCCGTAGAGTATTGCCCACATCCAAGCATTCTCTTCAAGTCACATCTCCCTTATTGCTGTCCTCGGCATCACATCCTCATTGCCGTCGACCGAACAAGACGAGGCGCGTGCGTGCGTGCAAGCACACACGAGTCAAGAGTGAGCAAAAGAAAACGCACTCACTCGGCAGCTGCCAGTATGCCCACATCCCGAACCAAAAGGCAAAGGGCAGATCACTCATCGAGCACACACGCGAGTCCACGAGCGCGAGACTCCACTGGGGCACAGCGGACGAGTCGGTGCTTCCCTTTGCTCCCCGTCGGCGGCCCTGTCCCCCTTGCCAATGCCTGTTCAACCCTTGTCTGCCAATGTCGATGTCTCAGAGTTCTCGCCTCCGGAGCAGTGGTTCGCGGTGTAGGCAGCCCCACGCCTCTTGCACGCAAGTAGAAAAGAAGACCTGGGTTTGTGGGTAAATCATTGCACGTGTCTCAGCACCCTACCTCTCCATGGCTGTTTTTTCTTTTGATTTTCGTTCTCGGTAAACTGTTAATTGTGAGCGACAAAGCGATTTTGAGAAATGTCTATGCACGCAAAAGCAGATATCAAACCACGTGTTCCCTGATTTGCAAGTGTTTCTGGCAAAGCCAAGCAGTATTATCGGTATTGTAGCCAGCACATTCCTAAGCGCTGCTTGCTTGGCCTGCAAATGCAACTCCCCAAGACCCACATCTCGTTTTCTCCTTATTGCCTGCTTTTGATCTGCTTTTCCTTGAATTTCACTGATTTTCCTGCTCTCCCATTCGGTCAAGACCTTCCGAGGCCTTGCATCAAACCAACCACTCACATTCACTCCCAAGAAAAAAAAACGTAGAAATCATTGCATGAAGTTGTATCATGCACACTCGCTTAATAACCTTGAATATACAGTAGAACCTCAATGTAGATCTGCCTGATTAGGGAGGCAGAGAGTGGGAAACTAAATCAACCCTTTGCAATCTGAGCTTCCCGAGAAACACAAAAAAACAGATCAGGCTGGCTTTGGCAATTGTTAGATGCATGAACACATTTCCAATTTCGGAGCTTTTTAGTATATTGCAATGCCAATCAAGAAAATACAAAAGGAAGGGGGGCGGTGATCTCTCCGGCAGTTGGAGTTGCTGCATGTTCATTTGTGATACCTGGCGCTTCTTGAAAGGAGAGCAAGTGTTTGTTTCCAGAGAATGAGGGGTTTGGTGACGGGTACTGCTGTCTCCATCTTTTTATTGATACGAAGGAGCGTGTTGCAAATTAACAAACACAGAGATCTGTAGAAAAGAAAGGAACCAGCTAGTGAGAGCAGAAACACACTCTTCGAAGCTCAAAAGGGAATGCAACAGCAGGGAAGAGAACGACTTTGTGGGTCTTTGAGATCGGGAGAGTCACAACTCCTTTTACACTGCAGAGTAAAGGGTGCATTCATGTACATCGAAAAACTATATCTCTATCTTAAAACACAAAAAGCCTACAATATAACCCAATCTGTTATCCAACACCCCCAATCACTCCTCCCGTACTGCCAGATTGATGCTTGTTATCCACACACAAGAAAAAGCCCTAGATGCCACATGATAATCGAGTACATAGTATACACTTGACGAGAAAATGCAAATCAATGATGTGATGATAATAAACATTGGAGTTGCGCTTCTCGCTCTGACCCGCTCTGCGGTGTATGAAGAGAGAAAGCTGCATGGAGAAAAAAAATATACAAAAAGATCTCTTTCCGTCCTTGCTCTATCTAGAAAAAGGTTGGTGTTGGAAGAGATGTGATAAGAATCGAAGAATAGATGTTGCGCACACAAAAACGCGTATGGGGGAGTATCCGCTAAAGGAACAAGAAAATTTGACAAAAAGGAGATGATGGTACGACGGGCAGATTTTGGGGATGTTCCGTATGTGGACAATCTTTCACCGGCCTTGACTTTGTGGTGGTAATTTTTGAACAGTACTGTCAGAAGACTTCCCTGGCCATATTATGATGGTAGTTCCCTAGTAGGAAGCGCCGATCGCAACTCCGCTGTCACTGTGGCTGGCTTCAGATTCGTTGCTGCGCTGTCCGTGGTACGGAGATCGCTGGGCGGCGCTAGGAGCCAAGGAAGTAGGAGGGTTCTGCGGTTGTTGAGGTTGTGCCTGTGGCTGCTCTGAGCGCTGCATGTAGGGACCAGAGTATGAAGAGGAAGGAGCAAACTGGTTGCTGAAGTTGGCGTAGTGAGGCATTTGAGGTGTGGAGTAAGGGGTTGGGTTGTGGTATTGTTGGTATCCGGGGAATGAAGACGGGTGCTGGCTGAGCAGTTGTTGGCTGTCTCTGTGATAGGCATTGATCATGTCGATGCTTGGAGGGCCACTAGTCGGTGCTTGGGCAGGGCGAACACTAGATTGGTAGCTGGGGAAGCCGTCTAGGATCAATGTCAGTGATGTTACGCGAGGTCAAAACACATACAATACTTACAANGGCGGAAGGCCCAAACCATATGGTCCGCTGGGAGGAGGCATGTTCCTCTGCGCATCCTGTTGAGAGATGTATCCATGGCCCTCTGACGATTGCAAACCAGGAGTCCTGGCCTCGGAGGGGTGTTGAGAGCTCTCGCCACTCAGACTGCCATAAGACATGCTAGATCTCAGAGGAGACGATGTGGCAGTTTCTCCACTTGCGCGTCTGAACCGATCGTGTACAGGAAGTCGTGGTGCCTGAGAATATTGGCTGGCGTATGACGGAGGAGGTCCAGAGAACATGGCTCTCTGAGGACTATCCAGAGTTGAACGAGGAGTATATCCGTAGTCAGCACCTTCTGGCGGTCTCGTGACTGGCGACATGGTATCTGTCGCTGAATGCGGGGGTGTGTATGCCATTGTTGTCATGCCAGGAGGAATTCCAGTCGGGCTAATGTAGCTAGGTCCCAATTCTCCTCGGCGGAGTGTGTCGAGAGTTAGGGGACGAATGTGACCAGGTTGGTGGATGACTGTGCCATAGCTAGCAGGAGATGCGCCAGGTGTGATACCGCCAGGCGCTGAGCCATAGTTGCTGTGAAGACTGGGTGTCATGTCAAAGTTATCCGGCAGAGCTCTTGACTTCATCATCCTCTCACGATCCTCGGCTGTCAAACGCTTCAGCTTCGCACGTCTNGCTCCGTGGTCAGTTTACACTTCATGTTGGCCAGTTTCCTCATAAGCATACCTGTTTTGGAACCAGACTTGCACCTGCCTTGGGCTCAAGCCAGGAATCTCTCGAGAGAGTCTTTCGCGATGCGCAGCATCGGGATGAGCTTAGCGACTGAACTCGCTCATCAGGAATCTCGTTTGGTTGTGGGTAAGTCTANNTCGCTGGTTAGTACTGTGTCTTGTGCTCGTTACAACAACGACAGCATACCTGAACCGCTTCATCTTGCGCTTTTGGTTCCTCAGCTCGGCTGCCGTCATCGGAGGCTTGTTCTCGCCATCGTCGGCATCTCCACTTGCATCTTGATCATCATCATCCGCAATCTCATCGTCGGGGTCGACTCCTTGCGAGTGCGGACTCAGGTGAGACGATGGGCTGCCGGGTAACGACTCGGCCGACGCCTGCTGTCCAGGTCCAGCATTGGATTGGGAAGTTGTATGAGATTTGGGGNNGTCCGATGAAGCATGTTGTGGGTAGGAACCCGGAGTAGTGCTGCCTGCCGAGTACTGGGCGTTGAGAGGGTATGGCGATGTCTTGTACGATCTCAGCGAAGGACCTTGAGGTACGCTCAGAACATGGCTGCTCGGGACAGGCTCTTGAGGAGCCTGGTACTGGCCTGCTGCATGAGGATACCCCTGTCCAAAAGACGACTGGTGATCTTGATGCGCTTGCCAACCAGGTAGTGCTGGCTTGTAGTCTTGACCAGACATGCGAGGAGAGCTCGGGGGTGACAGGGGCACAATGATCTTTCCTGGAAGCATTTGATTGCAGGTCTCTGTAAGGCGATCGGGTTGCGGCGCCTTTGTTGATGCCGCGTAAATTGGTTAGTGAGAACCGTGGGGACAGACCGGGAAGCTGCCGTGATTTGCAGAGCTTGGTAGAAATGCTGAAAGGATTCTTGGACTGCAAAAAGGTGTTCGTAATGATCTCCGGCAGGCCACAGTGAAACCCTTGAAAGGTTGACAAATTAATTAGTCGTAGAGCTCTGGGGGCAGAGGTTGATGGAGCAATAAAGGTACCGCGGGTATGGCCCACTGTAAGCTTGAAGCTGCCACGAAGTCGGTCGTGGGGTTGACAAGAGTCGATAGAAGGATCGATCACTCAATATCAGAACAATATCGAGTAGATGCGCGCGCTTTGTTGGAGCTGAGCGCAAGAATGACGCGTAATTCTTGAGTAAAGAGTGTTGTATAGAACACTGACCAGCCAACGATTGAGGAAGAGGTACAGTACTGTAGGACAGAGAAAGTTGCGGCAAGACCGAGAAGATCAAGGCAGTGGGCCGGTAGGTCTGGTCGACAGTTCGGCGGAGCTACGCTCACCGCAGTGGAAGGTGTCAAGAAGGTTTAAACGAAGAGAGATGAGGCTAATAGATTAGCAGTTGCGCAAGCACAGGACTTGACTCGTGCAAGAGGATGAGGATCTTGGAAGGACGAGACAATCAGATGATGAGTGACTTCTAGGCTCTGAATGTGGGGTGTCAGCAGGTGTTGCAAGACCAATTTGGTAGTCGACGGTGTAAAAGAAGGTGGTATCCGGCCTCTTGATCCTCGGGAGTCCCAAGCACCATAAGGGTGGCTGCAGGGTGAGAAAGATGGCCGAGTCAGGACGAGAAGTTCACGCGGTAAACTTCGTCAAGAGGATCGCACGGGGACAAGGGCAGCGATGGCCATGTCAACATCGACATGTCAAGGATTCAAGCTCACCTGCTTGCTTCTGCACGGTGCTTCTCGGCAGCCAATGCTCGTCTTAGTGCCTGTGGGTTCGACTAAGGGTCCACACAGCCAATGATAGGGATACGGATTGGTGTGTACCTCGGATGAAAGCCTCAGGTGGGAATATCCAGCATGTAAATAGCCTTGCGAATGGTGAAGCGTGCGGAGATTTATTCCACCTGTTGCATTTGGCCAAAAGCTCAGGACGTGCACTAGTAAGATGCCCGGGAAACTTTATGCGCTGTGCAGAGCATTTTCCGAGATGGCTGGAACACAGATGGTAACTGCCGATGGGGGGGTGATTCGAGGTTATGGTAGTGGGACCGGACCCTGTCAGGATATTCCCACGTTCACCGCTAATGGTTGGCTGCATTACCACTCGCGGATGAGGCGCTTGATGGCGCATGGTTGCGGGGGTGGTGGGACTAGTCGTCAAGTGACATGCGTGCTTGTCCTGCCGCCAAAAGGCGCACAGAGGTGGACGTCGCATGCTCTCTGTCCTTTCGATAGTTTCCTGCAGCCACGATGGTTCGCAGAAGTCATTTGGACGACCGTGAATATTCTTGCCAGACACTTACAGAACATCGCAATGTCTACTGTGATGCGGCCCAAAACACTCGGCTAGGGTAGAAGCCTAAACGCGCGTATCTGTTCAGAGGACATTGCTTCTGCTTGACACCCACCTTTTTGATAGCGTTCATCTCGTCTAATGGGACTCCCCCCGCTGTGGTCTGACGCTGTCTGAAGCTTGGACTTGGCTTGTTCGGCTCTTCCCTGAACTGTGCATGAGGGCCGATTTAGTCCTGGCTTGACCAATCCGACGCGATGATTATGAAGCATTTCCAGAAGATCGATCAACCGTTTTTCATTCGACTTCTTCTTGCGGGCCGCTCCGGGGCATGGCAGGTTTGGCACTTTCCGTTTCTCACAGCTGTCAAGCCAGGATTCTGAGACAAGATTGTCCAAGGCCTACGATCTGGTTTCCCTCTTGGCCCGTGATATCTGTTGCTTGCCTTTCTTTGTTTTTCTGCTGAGTATGTGCAACTCCGCGCTTCTCCGCTGCTGCTGTTCTTAGTCAGTTTAACCGAAGAGGCAGGTTGGAGCCACAGCCAGATCATAGGAGGCAGGCACTTTCTGGCGGTGCCACGAGAACATCTCCCTAATGATCAGCAACCAGGGGCAGTGATGGGTACTGAGCCGGTTTGAGAAGAGGGTTGTCAGGATTGCAGGAGTCAGGTCTGAACCGAGAAGGTTGTTGTCCATCACCGGTGAACACGGTTCGTCCACGACCGCGCCGGCTACTCACACAACCGGCGCCACGTGCAGGCGATTTACCATTGCAATCGTCAGGCAGCCCCTCGAATAACGTTTGTCGCCAAGAGAGCCTCCGGGACGTGTTGTGTGTTTCGAGTCGGACGGCAGCACGCTTGTGAGCGTGGTTACCGTCGGAACGCAGGGCGGCTGGAGATTTGCTGCTCGAGCTCCTGGGGCCTGTTATCCGAGTTGCTCGTGCTCGAAGCTTTCAAGACCCAGGGAGCAGGACCTGATGCTGCGGCGTGCCTGCGGAAGTTGGTCTGCTCGGGCCCGACACGCGTAGAGAGAGACGGCGGTTTGATCTGCGCAGGGTGCGCTTTAAGCGAGCCGCCATGCGAATCGAGCGCGTTCACCGTTCGCCAAGCCATCAGAAAAAGTCCCCCTCGTTCACCGGTGGCTCTTGCGCGATGGCTAATCTCATCGATGGGTGGGAGAGAGGCTCTGTGCAATCGGGCGGCCATGTCTAGTAAATGAGACAACAACAATCACCACGATTGGGCAGCTGCCGACTGCATTGCGATTGCGAGAAACCAGCAATAGTGCCAGCACGACGTGAAGTCGCCGGAAGGATCAAGGTTGTGCGGGTGGGAAACCGTCAAGATTCAAGGGGCGCACAGGGCAAGATTGCAACGGCGCCCATCGCCATCTCGGAACATTACAACCAAACAACCGCCTCCATCTCCAACCCTAGGTGCATGCAGATCAAAGGAACGTGAGCATCTTGCATACCAACAACGTGTCTGCAATGCTTCGTGCCACTGAAGATACATCAATTATAGACACCAAGGAGGCGCATTGCATGGGTATCTAGCTATCCGGTGAGCATCTACTCTTCTGCCTTGCCATCCATGGTCACGGCGACTTCTCCACTGTCATTCTCGGGTGCAGATGTCGGGTCGTGAGCAGCAGCCTCTCCCTGGTTCTCCTCCTGCTTAAACAAGGCAGGTAAGCGTGTGGAGGGATCCACCTTGTCTAACAACGCCAGTGAGGTTCTGGATGCAGCCCGCAACGCGCGCCAGGTCTTGCTCTGCTTGGCAGCCTCCAAAGAGTTCTTCTCTTCGTCTGTCATGGCCATTTCCAGATCAAGGTCGTCTCCCTCAATCCCCTTGACGAGCTTCTCGGGTGTTGGAGCCGTGAACCTGNNTTGCAACATGATCAGCATCTATCTTTGGAAATGACAATCCCGCGTTTGCACATACCTTGAAACGTCTTTCAGAGCCTCGAGACCCTTCGCGTTGTCCACTTCTGCGAGGAAGGTCACGTCGATGGCACCCATTGGTTTCGCCTTGAGGCGCCTATTGATGGTTGCTTGCCGAGCACCAGACTTCGCTTCTGTGTTCTCTTCTGGAGTGACAGCATCTCTGACGATTGGTGGACAGCTCTCCAATTTCCATCTCACCCAATTCTTATCGCGGGAAAGCACAGTGTCGACCATACGATAGTAAAACTTTCCCTCGGGTCCTTCCTGTAGATAACCGGCAATCTTGGAACGTGTTGAGATCACCCATTTCTCNCTGCTGTGTGTCAGTACGTGACTAGAATCGCTTGCAGTGCTGATACATACGTTCTCTTCATTCAAGGTGAAGCTGTACAGGAGACCCTTGTTGGCTGATTTGGGATTGGCTTTCTCAACATCTGTCCACTTCTTCTTTGCTTTGTCGGTGAGGGAGAGCAGAAAGTCAATGAGAATGAGTCCTTGAACCAGAATGTGACGTTGAAATGCCAAGTCGCTCAGCTTTTTCTCTATTAGATTTGGACCTCACCATTGCATCAAAGACTTCAAACATACCTCGAGTTCGAAGAGTTCCCGACTGGTCAAGTACTTTGGGTTGTAGTTGCTTGCGTATTGATCACCCGTCTCGTCACCAAGCTTGCGTTTGATACCACGTTGAGCATCTCCAGCACTCTTGGTTTGTGCGACTACTGGTGTCTTCTTGAATTTTGCCAGCGTCTTCTCGATGCCGTCCTTGAAGGGAGTGAAGTTTTCGTCTTCGAAAAGTCGCGTCGGATTCGAGAAGTCGTGCTGTAGCCTCCAGAAAACGGGATAGAATTCTGAGTCTTCAGCTTTGGTTTCGTCGCCTTTCTTCTCGGTAGTGGAGTCTGTCGTTTGATCCTTGCTTGGAACGGTGTTCTCGGTACCATCAGCGTCTTTTGGCTGTGACTCGGTTTCACCTTCCATAACGACATCCATGGGTTCCGTCGTCGCGGCATCAGCTGGGGGATCCTTTTCGAAGACAGTAACGTTCTCTGTGTGATATTCACCGCGCAGATTGACGGAACTTTTATCGCCAAGAGGGAAGGTCTGGAAGAGGAAAAAGAAGACTCGTCCGCAGAAGACAGCATCTTCGGCTCTGGAGAGTCGGCGCAGCAGTTCGTTGCATGAGCGGAGGAGAGCAAGATGAGTCTTGTGAAAGTCCTTTTGAATGAGTCGTTCACGTCTGGACTCGAGGTAGTCAAAGACTATCCTACAGCCTTCGGTAGTCTGACTGTCGAGAAGCTCTTCGACGAGCCAGAAAGCAAGAATGGGTTCGCACTGTCCAAGTTCGCCGCAGAGTAGCAGAAGGTCCAAGAAGTCCCACATACGGACAAAGCCAGGGGTTCTGATATCAGTGGATTGCNNTATTGGTGCATTAGTTTGAGGAGGTCCAGACAAGGCGACAAGCGCAGAGGGGCGTACAATGGTTTCGTAGAAGATCTTTTTTNNCGCGGCCGTCTCGACGACAGAGAACTTGTGCGCGTCGGGTTGCGATTCAAAGACATCCTTTCCGAGCGAAGAGGTTTCCTGTGCTACTTCTGAGACGGGTAGAGGAGGATCGATGGTTTCGACTGATTTGATTTCTCTGGCGCGTTGCAGCAGGCCCCGTAGTCGCTCTGATATGATGCCGACTGATGGCGGGTCACTCATTGCGTCTGCAGCCATGATGCTGCGGAGATATCGAAGAGGCTAATGGCAGCTGTCTAGACCGTTCTGATGATAACTGGTGGTGGTGAAGATGGTTGATGTTGAGTGGTTATGATGCTGGTTGGATATGGATGTTGCACGCAAAAGTCGATATCGCAAGGCGTGATGTCTCGGACTCGAGTGCTCTTCCAAGGCGAACCCAGAGATGTGAACAATCCTTTCCTAGTGCTATTGTTGAGGAACTTATCGCTATTGTCGCAAGAATCAATGAGCTTGCGAGCAGCGGAAGTTTGCTGGCGCATCGCAGGGCAACGACTTTCGGCCGCACGGCATCGAATCGCCAATTTGGCGCGTCGCGTGCTCAGTCACGTCTTCCAGAATCCGTCTTGACATCGAATCTCCCATCCACATCCAGTGTATACAAGACCAAAAGAACGCCAAACATGCCAGCCGCAGTCTCGTCAGGTGTACGTCCTACCATCGAGCGCGACGATCTGGACGACATCTTCAACTACGACGCTGGCATCAGCTCGACCTCTTATCAACAAGACCAGGATCGGAGTGCCCAGGATGATACGAACGGCAACAATACCAACCAACAACATGATGTGCCAGTAGACATTGATGAGGAAGTCAAAGTCACCAAGAAGCGCAAGCCAGTCGCAAAACTTGACGAAGAACGGTACGCGTTCAACCTCCAACACATCCACCCCAACACTAACACTTCCACAGTCNTTCTCTCACAACAAGGCATCCCAAAACTTCGCAAAATCGCCAAAGACCGCATCCAAATCAAAGGCAAAGGCCACGAATTTTCAGACATGGCACGCCTACTCAACACCTACCAACTATGGCTCGACGACCTCTTCCCCAAAGCAAAGTTCATGGACGGTGTCTCCATGATTGAGAAGCTTGGCCACAAGAAACGCATGCAGATGATGCGAAGAGAATGGATCCAAGAAGGCAAACCCAAACCGCCACGCGACGATGAAGAGGAGGACTTTGTGATTCCGAACGAAGATGCAGTAGTAGAAGACAACAGTGTCCGTGAGACCGAGCAAACGCCCAGCAATGTCGAGACAAGGCTGGAAGCACAATCGGATGGTGGAGCACCAATAAGAGACAATCACAATCCATTTGGCGAGGAGGAGCCTGACGAGGACGAGTTGGATGCGCTATTGGCTGAGAGCGAGGCTGCACCAGCACCAGACGTCTCGAAACAGAACAAGACACAACCCGCAGGAGACCAAGAGCCGGACGAGGACGAGCTAGATGCACTCATGGCCGAGGATGCAATGAACTACAGTGTGCCGAAGAGTCTGTTTGGTGGACCAGTGTCATCAACCACCACTACAAACACTGCTCCGCGACCGCAAGACGAATTCGATGATGACGAAGAGGCAATGGCTGGTATGGATTGGTAGTTTTGGCAATGATTATATCCTTCATTCCCGCTCTCGGCTGTATCTCTACCTTGAAACGTCTTCTGGTTAATGCTGATATCGCTCACGGGGCCTGTTGTGACCGACAGATGCGTTTATCAACACTCTGACGCAACCATCTCGACCCGTGTACACGGACAGGGTGACAGGCTCAACTACCACTTTGATCGAATAATCTACGATATCACGTCCAACACTTGCATATATATGGTTTTTAGGTAGTTCTACACATCTAAGAATTCTCCCCATCGTAACCGCTGTGTATTGTACGTCTTCGATGAACAGGGGCGGACATATGTCCATTTCTGGGCTCGACAACCCTCGCTTCCAGGAAACCCATGCCAGTACGTGCAATTTGCATGCAGAATTGCCATTCCATATGATGATATGTAAATTGCTCAGCAAGGCAGTATTTGATTCGTGGTATGCTGCCAGGAGTGAGTCTAGGCTTTCTATCTGGAAGTTGTCTGGAAAAGATGGGTCCAATGCTTCCCTTATATTTTAATTCATGTGGTCTGAGACGCTAGGTATATATTTAGTTTGAGCATGCCCTCCATCATCACGTGAATTCGTGTATCAGTCGCAGTGGTTTAGTGGTAAAATTCGTGCTTGCCATGCACGAGCCCCGTGTTCGATTCACGGCTGCGACAGTTCTTTTGAAGCTGTCTATCATGTTTGATTCTTGCCACGTAGTAAGCTCGATCGAACTTGGTAACGCATGTGTTTTGGTCGTTAAAGTGTAGAACCCCTACTAGCCAGTTCTGTTCAATAGTCGTGTCACCATTTCCCTGCCTGCTTCATGACTTTGAGACCGAGGCCTCCTGACCCCACCTCTGCAATGCCCTCTCAACAGAATTTACAAAAGTGGCAGCACGACCAATACTATCCTCTTTGAAGTCAAGAGCGTCAGTCCTCCACCAAAGCCAGTTTTGTGCCAGTGAGCCTTCATCTGCATCGAGCAATCCCACAGCCACGTTTGCGATACCATGTCTTTCATCTCTGATATAGAAGACGGTCGCACCACAGTCACCACAGAAATATCTAGTTGCCTGATCGGATGAGCGATATCCCTTGAGCGTACCAAAGTCATGGGAGAAAGGCACACTTCCATCAGCGGTCAATGAGATGTCTGTAGCTGGGACGTAGGTCCATGGAATAAAGTCGCAGCCGCTTGATAGACGGCAGGAGTTGCATGGGCATACTTCGGCGAAGAATTTGGTGCGGTCTTCGCAAAGCCACCATGGGTTCTCGACTTCGTAGTCTCCACGGTCAGGGTTGTGCTGGTGGGTGTCAGACTTTGGGTTGGCGGGGTTGGCGGAGGATGTCAGTGGACGAGAGATCCAAAAGTTAACACCCTTACACAAGCAGTGGGCGTGCAGTCGATCTGATGTTTTGTCTGCTGGTCGCTTACTTGACTGAGGCCAGTTTGCAGGCAGACTGTCATTCAGGGTGGCATGTGTCTCGAGTGACAAGTCTTTCAGCCAGTGGCTGAAGCCACCATCTTTGGTATCCTTGACGAATATCTGGCGCTTGAACTGCACTGTGTCGTCCAACTGGTCGAGAGCTCCTGTGTGGATGCAAAGTTGGCCATCAAGTTTTTCCACGATAGTACTGCCGCAGGTAGAGCACATGTACGCTGTTCTGCGGCTTGACCATTGACTAGCCTTTAGTTTGGAAAGTGACTCTTCTACAGACTCGACGCAATCGTCCGGCACGAAGACTCCACCTAGGTATAGTGAGCCTGAGCCGTGACGACAACTATCGCAATGGCATATCGAAGCTTTGAGGGGACGTTGCTGGTTAGGCACAGTAATAGAGAGTTGATAGCTGCCGCAGAGGCATTCGGCCTTGATCTCTTGCGTGATGCTCATATTGAAACACACGGAGATTACGTAGGAAATGCTTCGGTCGGGTTGAAGAAGGTTGTGATGTGTGTTGTATTGGGAGGCAGCAATGCTGACTAAGCCGATAGAAAGAGCCGCATACGACATCTACAGCACAAGGATTTTCAAAGCGGATTGTTCATTGTCAAGAACATGACATTGAATCGAGCAGAATGGCTGACGTTCCGAAGAACAATCCTGCACGAGAGAGTATCTTGGGAGCAACATGCATACCGAGGTTTGAACAATTGGGCAATTGGCTTCTGCGAAACGCTGTTGGCCGCTCAGAAGCAGGATACGGTATTCTGAGCACAGGACATGTGCTAGCCTTGCTCCTCCCCTCGGTATCATCCATTCGTGGTCGGTCAAAGGCAAGTGCAATTGACGATGCGTCACGCGAAGGCTTCGTTTCAAATCTGGCCGGCGATCCGATGTTTCTGTGGCGGTTGACGACAGACTGTTAAGCGAAAGGCTGCTCATCTCAAGAAAGAGTGACCACAAGATCGTGTGCAAATCTGCTCTCCGAGGCACATACCAATTTCCAAGTAGTACAGCATCTCTGGGATGCTGAAACAAACTTGCTGGTCTAGCTGGGCTGCCGCACTCACACCGAGTGAGTTGCTGCTCATCCACTCTCACGTGTAGTCACCACGTGTACTTCTTGCTTCTTTTGCACTGCTGCCTCGAGCAAGTGACGGGAGCTTTGAGAAAGTGAGTTAATCAAATCCAGAGCCTCAGAGGAAAGGGGATGGCGATTCTTGTATGTTCTTCCTCACACTCGTGACTCCAAACTGTTCATTACAAAACACAACGTACGCCGAATACGCCGAATAGAAACATAATGTCACCCATCGTCAATACAAGCTTCCTGCTACTCTCGAATACCCACGGAGTTGATATACATGAAAACACCGCCCACCCCTTCAGCCTACATACTCACAATGCTATCCGACGCACAAAGCCCATGTTGCACTGCTTTGGCCATATACATATATGCCATGGTATGAGCCTGCTCAGCTCTCTCCGATAGTAGGCATCTCAAGGACTCAACTTTATGCATACGGACAGCTGTCAGAGAGACTTGTAGGCATGTAGGACGTAGAGCCTGATCTAGAAGTCGTCAGGCACTCGAAAGGGGACACAAGGAGCGTTTATCGAATCTGGTTGGCGTCTCCCAGCGCCGAGCAAATATCAGAATTTCCGCCGCACATCACGAAACATTCTTAAGATGATGTCGTCGCTCTCGGGATATCATATCTCTACAATCTCCCGTCACAGTCCGCGCCGCCGAGGGCAAGCTTTGATCGTCCGGATCAAAGCTATCCTCATTCACTTGACCGTCTTCACCGTTCCTCTCTACCGTCACAACAACCTCACTTCAATCTCGCGAGCAAGAACTTACAAACACGCTTCTTCAAGAACAACATACAAGCATCTCTCAACTGCATCAACTCCACAACCAGAACAACAACAACATGTCCTCCACTACCGACGTTCGTGCTATGATCATGCGTAAGTGTTGTTCATCTGTTTTCTCTTTTCTTCCATCTCTCTCTATAGTTTGTGCACTTGATGTGATCATGTCGCTGAAATGCGTCAGTCAACTGCCAGCTATCCTTCATCGACCTGGAGGAGTTCTGCATCACCGTTTCCATCATGAAGCGCGGCGAGTTCGAAGTTCACACCGCCTACGTCGTCGCGGGTCCCCATCGCGTTACCGTCGCTCGCGCCAGTGGCAGCACCGCCAACGAAGCTCTCAGCAACCTGCTCGTCATCACCAGCTTTTGAGCCCATCATCATCGACTGGAGCAGATGACTTTGGCGGTCCTTCTCTTGGATTAAGCGTGGAGTCAGGTGGGAATAACTTGGGCTGTCTCACAAGTTCTTGAAGAGTTTGTCACTCACATCATCAGTGAACGATATGGTCGTGTTCTTCACCATGAATCAAATCAATTTTTGTTCCGTCTTCCTCACTGTTGTCACTCCTTCGTGCTCGTCTGTGTCATGATATGCTGAACCACCTCGACTCAGGGGTAGACTGAACGCTGTTGGAAAGCGCTCCCCGTACCATTTCATCTTCTTGAGGTACTGTGTGCTCCATGGCTACAGGTTTGCTTTTCACTCGAGGTAGATGAAGATGTGACTTGCAGATGTTATAAAGTATCAAGGAATCTTGGTGTCACTTTTCAGAGCACTTTCAAGGTTTCTAGTCAATCTCTCTTGCGGACTGCGCATGTTTTGAACACAACCACTTGTCAACGCAACTTCACTCTGCAACAGCAAATCTGAGACTTGGACTTGTTAAAAGAAGCTCGACGGTACACCTTGAGCATGAGAAAGACGAATCAAATTTCTGCAGGCCAGCTTCAGATACAAAGAGATCATGCTTCCCAAGTCGATAATAAATCTGGTACTCTAAACTCCATTTCCAAGACCATGAAAACAATACAATATACCCTTTCGTCATGCAGAACTCCTGGATTAAACCTTCACATCGACCTGAGACAATGATCGTTCTCCTTCGGATCTCGACAGGCCTCGTCTGCCAAATACTTGCCCATCTATCCACCATACTCAACAGGAAACATGTACAGGCCAGTGACTAAGTCAAGACCCATAGCATAGCCGGCTCAGTACCGACAAAGCCAAATGCTATCTCAGCAATGACCATAGCGAGCAGCTGAACTCAATCCCAGGTCTCATGGATACCGCGGCGATGAGTCTCTCTGCTGGCACGAAACATTTCGACGGTGAAATTGAGAATCATTTTTACGATAGCCAAGGTACCCGCAATCGAGGCAAACAACTGCTTCGAATCCATGGCTAGTAAGTTGAAGGGTTGATGATAGAGTATTGGTAAGCTGTGGACCGAGTGCGACTGGTTGATGCGGTGGTGGTAATGAGGGATTTGATCGATAGAACTGGCCGAGTATTGAGGTAGTGGATTGATGGTTTTCAAAGTTGTAGTAAAGCATTAAATCAGTGAGAGTGTTGGTCGTAGTTTGATTTGTTGCGTTGATGAGATGATCAGGCTGTCTTGGGCAGAAGCTTCAGCTTTTATATCTGACCAGGCTTTTTTCTGCATCCAATGTTTCCAAAATACTTCCATTCACTGCGAGACACTTTCTGGAACAGACAGCTGATAGCGAGTGGGAGGAAACATTGTCTCAGACATGCATGTCTTTGGCATTGAATCTTCTATGAAAGCCCCAGAGACAAAGAGAGACAGCCGAATCAACAAAGCATATTCCTGAGTCAAGCACGAAAGTGGTACTTTCAAACACATTCCACGCGAAGACGATATATCTTTTCACTGGCTTTTGCCCCTTACGGCGGCTGACCCGCAGTAACATCCCCATGAAGGAGAATCGATTGTGTTCATGTTGAGAAATGATGAAAATTCAGACTCGAGTCAAGCGACGTGTTGATGAGATGGGTCTTGGAAAAGGCGCGATGATGATAAAGCGGATGCACTCAACGTGTACGACTGATGGGTACTACGATGATGATGCTTCGGACGCCGAAATATATCAACGTGTCCAGGCACCGAGGGTCTGGTCAATGAACGTGACTTGGCGCATGGTTCAGACAGGCAGTCGCGATGCTCGTCGTGATCGTTGCTATCACATAGCAAGGCGAGAGAAGGTTCAAGGTCGTTGTTTCCTCATGAACTCATTCAATCAAGCAGAGACATGTGATTGTCACGATGCAGATCAAAAGAGACAGAGCGCCTTTTGTTCGGAGAGTTTGCTCAGGATTGAGAAGCCCAAGTCTGAGCACAAGTCAAACTTTCAAGCAGAGTATGTATTACTTGAGCCAACTCAAGGCAGAACCTGTGTCCGGCCATGTCTTTCTGCATTTTCGGCTCTCGCTAAGCGAACTTTCATCCAGGTACTCGGTAACTCTCCTCAGTGCTGCCAACAGAGCAAACTTGTATGAACATATCAGCTATTGTGGATGCACCATCATCTTTCGGAATAGTTGGATAAAGGAGTGGCAAAGGCGAGAACGTGTAGAAATCGAAGAGGTTTGTCGATGACAATGCTTACTCTACAGTACCCAGATATCCCTAACGCCACGCTAGCCAGTACAACAAAGAAAATCCACACACCTATTATGCTATCTCTAGTCCGCAATATTCTTGTTCGCTTTCCTATCCTTCTCCAAGACTTCCTTCAACGATCCGTTCTCCTTTGCGATATCGACAATCATCTCCAGAGCCTTCAACTCCTTCTCATTCATCGCATGCAAATCATCGCTCTTGAGACAACACATGTTATCTGCACCAATGGCCCATTCAGCCCACTCTCCATCCTTTCTCTTCTCGGCCATGAAGAACTCGAATTCCGAGATGTCGGAGCTGGCGTCGTGTTTGTTGTTCTGGATCCAGCCGTTGAACCACAAAGGTCTGCCGTCGCGAGAGAGATGCAAGAGTTGTGGGGAACAGAGGATGATGTTCTGACCAGGAAGGTCAAGCATGCCAGGACCAGTAAGATTGGTAAGTTTCTTCTCCAAGGCAGTGTCGAACCAGCTGTCACGTTTGGTCAGATGGCGACGAGAGAGTGTTCGACCAGGGTCAGACTCTTCAGCGGCAGCAGCAGGCGTTTCTGGTAGGGTTGTGGGATTTGCGGCAGGAGGATTGTCGCCAGATTGGGTGTTGTTCTCTACTGGTAGATAATGGCCTTCTTCAGTAGGCAATCGAGCCGCCCTTGCAGCCTCGGCTGCTTTGATGGCCTTCATCACATCGTCAGCATCTGGAGCGGGAGAGAGAAACTCGACTTTTGTTTCTGTGCTCGGATCCGTGGTCTCTGGAGTGACTTGTTCCGTTTTGGCTTCCTCGGCCTGGTTCGACTGAGATCCTTGCAAGACTCTCAGGTTTGCTTCAAATTCTTCGCTGTCCGTCTTGCGCAGGGGCTCTTCAGTCGCTGTCTCCTCTACAGGCGTGTTCTCTTGCTCCTCCTTTTTGACGCCGAAGTTCTCAGCCTCGGTTTTGTCTTCGGATTTATTCTCAGGTTTGTCTTCGGGCTTGTCGATAGGTTCGATGTTGCTTACAGTACCCATGTTACCAGTACCACCTTGATGGAAATGGTAATCAGTATCGCCAGCGAGCTCGAAACCGATCCACCAAGTCTCCTTATCACCCCACCAAAAGCTGTAGGTTCCCTGCCCGGCATCCGTGTCGTCACGGTCTGGTCCGTTCAATCTTGCAGTCAAGAAGACACTCAGGAAGTGCCTCCACTTGTCAACCACTACCACGCCAGATTCTTGATTCTCACCAGTCTCGCCTTTCCACCATCTGCTCTCTCTGGCTTTGCTAGAAACAGGCTTGGGCAGAATCTTCCGTAGGAAAGATCTTTTGTCTTGGGGAAAGACTGTACGGTCGGAGAAGAAAAGGGCACCAGTATCGACATATCCAGGCTCGCTGTAAAGAAGCTCAGGATTGTTGAAGAACAAGACGTCCGCATCGAGCAAGATGACTTCTCGGAAAGAGCTCATGAACGCTGCGAATGCTTTGCCGGCCCAACCTTCAAGTGCCCAGCCTTGATCGTTGACCATCTTCTTGATGTCGCGAGTAATGACGTCCGGAATAGCTTCGAGCTCTGTGCGTGTGTCTTCGCTCAAGTCTGAGTCGCCAAGATACATGATCTCGACCGGCAGAGTGCAGCCCATTGCACGGAACGAAGTAATCGCAGTCTTGATGTAAGGAGCCTGCGAGGTGCTGCCTGAGATCACAATGCCACGTCCAGCGTTGTACATGTGTCCGTGTAGTGTCATATGGTCGGAGAAATAAGGGCTTGTCCATGGGAATAGGATTGTAGACATGTTCGACAAGAATGAGCGATACGTCTCATACTGTCGCATAGCCTCAAGTCGTGATCCGGAGGTGAAATGAGAGAGATCTTTGGAGTCTCTGATGTGGCGCAGAATATCGTCCCGTACAAAGGCCGTATCAGACAGACTGTCTGTCACGACGTGCAATGCTTCCCAGGCATCAAAGTACTTCTTGAACATGCGTACTCGTACACCGGTTTCGTGAAGCTTCTCCTCGCCACCAGTCTTGATAGGCTGCGTCAATGCGTTGTAGTAGACCTCATCCGGACTTAATTTCAACACTGTACGAAGAGCTGTATCGAGATCGTAAGGCTCGTTTGTGTGGATGGTATAGTATTGCGGCTTTTTCGCCGCCCATAATGATCCTTTGACCTCCTCTTTAGGTTTTGTCGTCGACTTGTAGGGTATCGTTGATGTTGTGGTGGTGGAACTTGTGTTAGTGGCAACGCTCGATGTGACATAGTTCCAGTCCGAATGTGTAGTTACGCTTGCGTAAAGAAGAACGCAAAACACAGCACATCCAGTGAATGCAAGTCCTTTGACAATCTTCAGACATCTAGAAGGACTGCTGACATAATTCGCAAACGCGTCGGGGTCGAACTTTTCGAAGCGTGGGCTCAAAAGTCCTGTCATTGGGTCGAGTGTGTCCAATCCTCGCATTCTAGTGGTTCCCAGTCCTGTAAGCCCGGTTGATACAGAGTGTGATATCTGTAAGAGTAGTCGAAAGGAAAAATGCAAAAACAAGATCCAAGAAGACTGAACTTGGGATAACCGTGAATTATACCAGGACTTACCTGTATTCGTCATATCACCACATTTGTCGCCGGTATCTAGCTAAAGCATAACAACGATTGTCAGCTCGTACAGCTGTGATCGTAGGACATCGTTTCTAAACCGGTTATCGAGGGCTGCCACAGCCGCTGGTGGTGTGGACAAGTCGAACTCAAATCGACACCAAAAGTCAGATTAGATACGAACGGTGGCAGGGCATTCATTCCTAACCTACAATAATAGCCCTGCTCATCAGACGCTCATTGAGTCCGAACGAATACAAACAGCCCATCCATTGGGCAGTTTGTTTGTCGTCTTTTGGGTTCGCAAGTCATGATTAGTCCTATCTCAGCTGGCTCAGCTCAAATGAAAGCTGTTTCTGGAAGGAATCGATAGCTGACGGAGGCGTCGTCGGAGCTGCCGCGTGGCTAATCTCGAGCCTAGACTTTCAACAGTCCGGACCGCACACTTCAAAGCAGACGACCGCCGTTGCGGGTAATGAGTCTTGTTGATCCTATCTCTGGGGCATCTGGACTCGTACTTGTTTGACGTTGTTTTCGATTTGAGCGTTGTGGAGATGTCGGTCGAGGCGAAGAAGCGAAGAAAGGGCATCAAGCATCTTGAGCCCCCATGTGCTTGCCAGCTGTTGCCAAGAGTCGTGTCTGATCCCCAGCGGTTCTCAGGTTGACACCTTTTTTACACGTTCTCCCAGTGGCAGAAATTCATATCGGGTGCTTGCTCATGCTGTTTTATTAGTCGACTGTTCTCTTGAGCAGAGCTTGTTCCATTGTATCCTAGATGATGGGAGTGCGGCACACTGGACAATTGCTCACTGCGATCAGCATGGACACGGCTCTCCTCTCCGTACTTTGTAAAGTCTACATGTGCGAGTGGCATGTGTGTCTCGGACAATTATGCCTCTTCACTGGACCTGTGTTTTGACGCCGCCAATGAGGCAAAGCTAACGGGCACGTTTTGGGTCTACTTGATCGAGCAAGCATACACCCCAGTAGACGCTCGCCTCAACAAAGTCTCATCCTGGACGTGATGGCTTGCAATTCGTATCAGGATTGACGTTTTCCTGGTTCATTTGATCGATTCGAAACCTCGTGCCGTTTGGTTTTTTGAAGAGCGCGTACGCGACGCCTTGACTTGGCTGTGAAAGGAGAGATCAGCTGTCGCGTCCTTCGTCAACGTCGGTTGACATCCTATCAACATCAATGCAAAATCAGTTGTTAATCTGTTTCGCTGATTGGTTGTCAACCAGAAGCGTGCCCAGCTCAGCGAAGCTTGTTTCTTTACTCTCTCTCCACCTTCGTTCATTCCATGTGATACAAATTCTCACTCAAGATAGAAGACTTAGCTCACACAAGAACCTTCCATGCTCAGCAGAGCTTCCGGACCAGCTTCCAACAAGAAAACAGAGGCCATGCCGAGGAAAAACGCTCCGCTCACGCTATTGGTGGATCTACTCCAGCCTGCAGATCATACCCCATCTCCACCCCCAGAGTTCTCCGCATGGCAGACAGAGCAATTTTGCCTTGATATGCAGTAAAGACGGCGTCTGGGGGTAGAATGCGGAGTCGACAATGTAGCCCAGAAGATCTTCCGGGGCGTAACGATGTATGAGGTATAAGAACAAGCATTACCAAGTCGTGAAAGTCATCATCCTTCGGCCTTCAATATGGTCGCCTCCAAGACCATTCTATCTGTGCTCTCTCTGGGTCTGCTTGGTACAAGCCGAGCATACAGCCGAGGTGAATGCCAACATCCAACTCAGAACCCACTCCAAGGTTGTCCACAAGGGACCTTACTCGTCGGTCCCAATGCAAAATTCACGAGCATCCAATCTGCCGTGCTTTCTATACCGAACAATACTGTCCCCTACTATATCCTCGTTCTGCCCGGCAACTACACTGAACAAGTCAACGTCACTCGTCCAGGTCCCTTGACACTACTCGCTCAGACCAAGTTTCCTAACGACAACACCAAGAATACAGTCAACGTGATTTGGCACAACGCTACAGGAACCGCCAGTACAGGGAGCTACGACAACGCATATACATCTACACTCACGGTAGCGCCGACTTTCAACAGTAGCCTGACTGGCAGTGGACCGACCGGCAATCATGTGCCCGATGGCACACCATTTGGCAACACAGACTTCAGAGCTTACAATCTCAACTTCATCAACGATTACTTGCCATACTCTGCTGGACCTAGTTTGGCTCTGAGTGTTAGCTATGCAAATGCCGGCTTCTACTACTGTGGGTTCTACAGCTACCAAGATACTGTAAGTTCTGTCCCTCGCTATTTCATCATCGTCCACTAATCATGATTGTCAGNNGTATACGTCGGTAAGCTTGGCAACACGTATATCCACAACAGCACCATAGCCGGCCAAACAGACTTCCTCTACGGCTTCGGCACCTTGTGGATCCAATCCTCCCTCCTCAGTCTCCGCAACTGCGGCGGTGGCATAACAGCCTGGAAAGGCACAAACACGACATTCGTCAACCACTACGGCGTCTACATCCACGATTCGTCTGCGCGCGCTGCAAACAGCTCTCTCGATATTGTGGGAAAGTGCGCATTAGGACGACCTTGGAATGCTGGCCATAGAAGCATTTTCGCAAATACCTATCTGGACGACTCTATTATGCCTGGAGGTTATATCAAGTGGAGTGCGTCTGACCCGAGGATATCGGCGAATACGACAATGGCAGAGTACAAGGACTTTGGGCCTGGGTGGAATGCTACTGGTAGAGCGGCGGCTAATGTTACGATTGTCATGACGGATGAGCAGTATGCTCCTTACAGCACGTTGGAGAAGGTGTTCCAGTTTCCCTTTACAGGCAAATTTGGCAACACCAAGTGGATTGATAGAAAGTCGCAGGTGCACGGAAATTGAGGATGCAAGACGCAGAATCGAAAGATGGATTCATCACAGGCTATCATTACATGCATCTTCGAAAAATGCTCAACCTCGTGACTTGTTCTTTCTCTTGCGCAAAGCTTCCTTTGAGCTGCCGTGACCAGTACTGCTTTCCAGACTAGTACCTAGACCAGAGTCGAAAAAGTCGTCGCTCTCATCCTCGTCATCGGCTTCCAGAGCAGTTGTCAGGAGTTGAGGGAAGGGCTCGGGCTCTGTTTCCTCCTTNTTGATGGCAGGGGAGTTGTAGCGCATAGCAGGACCTTTGCTATAGGTAGGATATGTGCGCTCTGTGTCTGACAGTCTAGATTGCTCTTCGCCTTCCGAGTCTTCTGCCTTGATGCGTTTGCTGTGCTCGGGTTCTCCCTTGACTGAAATGTTGTCGCCAGAAGAGAAGATCCAGACACTGAGAACAGCCCAGCAGATGGCAGTAAAGAGAACCTCTGTGCCCCAGAAAGCGCCGATGAAGACGGCAGCGCTGGTGATGCGGTGATTGTACATGATCCATCTGAGGCCTTGGAAGCGTGCTTTGAAGACGACACTGGCCTCGTAGATTTGCATGCGTGCAGAGCTTTGTACCTGTATCTGCATGGTGTCAGGAACATTCCTCCACCCTTTTGCAAACGAGACGGCATTGAAGACGGGAATCTCGAGCGTCTCTGCTTCAAGTCGCCAGCCCAGAAGCAGCCAGTGCAGCTCGGTAGCCTTACGAGCGAGATCGACGACGGGCGAGTAGTATGTCAAGATGGCGGATCTTCTGGAGCTAGCGAGAACTCTAGTTGTGGTGGGGTCCTTTGCAACAGCAATGCGTGAGTCGTCAATGACGGAGCCCTTCTCGCCGGGTGCAAACAGGGCAGTCTCGACCATGAAGTTGCCAATCTCGGTATTGGTCCTTGTGCGCGGCAGACGTATCTGGATCTTGACATCGTACGGCTGGAGACTAACCAGCTCGGGAGCCAGGTTTGCGATACCCCATGGCGGAGACTCGAGACTATCGAATTGGAGGTGGATGGGGCGGCTGAAGCCTATACGCGGGATATAGGTCCAGTAGAAGGCGAGATAGGCAGCGATTGAGACGATGAGGAGGAAAAAGCAGGTGCTGAAGAAGAGGACCGAGGTCAGGTATGCGCGCTGGGCGGGTTTGGAGACGGCGATGCGGAGCGGGAGGAGAGCTGTGTCNCTGTCGCCTGGTCAATTGTGGTCTGCGAGGAAAAGCAGTAGGATGTCAACCTTGACACGAGTCACTACGCCTTGCGGCTCGTCATCAGCATAGTCGGACATGTCGCATGATGGTTGTGGTATAGACGATGCTGACTTCAAGGTTGGTTCAGGTCCACGACAACGTCACTGCTCTCACATGAAAGGTCCAAGCTTTTTCTCCTACCAAACATCCTTCTGTGGGTCCACATGACAACAAACAACGGTCCAACGTCGAAGACCACCCGACACATCATGGCCGCTATACAGGGTCTCAGAGAACAAATCTCTGGTAAGCTTGTTCATCCCTGTGCTCAAATTTGACATACCAACATCCCCATGTAAAGCAAATTTCAGCCACATGGACATGCGTGTCGAGCATCCAGAAATTATAGTTCTGAAAACCGGCCACTTCTATCGCGCCGTCATAGCGGCGAGGGGTTGTGCAAACCATATCGTTAGCATACAAGAACCAAGTCCCACCGTCACCGCTGCTCTAGAGCATCTTCTCGACGTGACTGCCGAAGTTTTGAGCAACATCCAGGATTCTTCCTACGCCAACAATGAAATGCCACCAGATGAAGTTGGTGAAGTCGACGAGAGTTCATCCTATATCGATGATGAGAGACTTCCAGAGCAAGCCCCGAGCCCATCTGTGTCGCGTAGTCCGTCGCCTTCAGAACCAGTCTGTCAGGGTTGTTTGGAATCCGCTCTAAATATCAAGCATGAAAGTTCGGAAATGCTCTATTCTGAGGAATCTGAACAGATTGCTTCCGATTTCTCAGAGTCGATCTGTCCTGACTCTCCAGAACCCGCTCCGAGTTTCAAACGTGAGAATACAGAGTTGGTCTGTCCGGATTCTTCAGAGTCTATGGAACGTGAGATCTCTGAGCCGACATCAGTCGAACCCGAAACTCCCGAAACTGTACAGCCACAAGAAAGGATTGCAAGCAGTTCACTCACCCCAATTGTATCATCCCCGCTGGTCTCTGCCTCGAGAGCGCAAAAGCGTCGTGCTTCTGCAATGGACGGCTCAATACCAGATAATGCAGAACGATGCAACGCCTTACGCAGAAGCGCCCGAAACCGCCAAAACTCGAAAGCGTGATAACTAGACTAATACTCCAGTATGACATCGAATGGTGTTTCTTTGGCGTCGTGAACATTATTCCTAGACTAAAAAGTGTGTGAATTTCGATATTTGCGCTTGGCTCGTTTGTTCTTCCAGAGAGGGGTAGCTCTTCCTACCTCTTGATATCTCTTTGCTCAAGGACATTCACCAACACATCGAATAATCAACAAAGTCTGACCCCAAAGTCTCAGAGCACAAATCCATGGGAGGCGGAGACAGCGAAACTGTACCCAATGCTAATTCTCGCAATGACAACTACATTGCTTAGATTAAACAATAAAAGTCAGGTTTATTCTTGAAGTGTTCTTCGTCACATTGGTGCAACTTTCTGATGGTGCATAAGTTGCAATTGTGCTTTGCACAACGCGTGTACAACCATGACGTTGTGCTATGTCCACCCCCCCAAACGCGTCTCACAAGGCAAGTTCGAACATCACCGCAACTACCCATCTTGACATTCTGACACGCGCCGTTGACCAGGCGATCTCAGCAAACAACTCTACAAGCACAATCAATCATCGAAGTCAAACACGCATGTTCTCCCTTGCACGCATTTCATCGTGATCTTGTCGTCTCCAAACCAAACACTACCAAACACATTTCTAATCTTTTGTCGCCATGGCTGAGATCTCTGGGCTCAGAGAGCAGATTCTTGGTGATTATGCTTGATATCAATGCACATCCGATCACAACTGATGATTTGCAGCGAATTATAATTTCATGGGATTCGACCAGCCCACCTCCGAAGTCGATGTTGTTGTTAGATATCTTGAGCAAAAGTATTATCAAGCCACCATTGCGGACAAGTCCTCGGGCGAAGATGTTGTTGGAGAGCCTCACGAAGCAAGAACCGTCGAGCGTGCATTGACAGCCTTACTCGCTCATACCTGTGCACACCTTGGAAACCCTCCCAACTTGATCGGTGCTGGTGCTACACAAACCCTAGGAAGTCCAGTGGCCAAGCGTGGTCGCGGAAGACCCAAGAGCATTCTCCCTTCTGCTACCTCGTCCGTCGTCAAGCCTAAGGCAACGAAGACTGCTCCTGCTACCAAGGCAAAGGTCTCTGCGACTGTCACTCCAAAAGCCACTCGAGGTCGTGGAAGACCCAGGAAGTCTGATGTTGTTGCGCTCACATCGACAGGTCGCCCTCGGGGTAGACCTCGCAAGAACACTGTAACGACTGCTCCCGCAGTTGAGGCGACGACGGATGGTGCCATTGCGCCCGCTAAGCGGGGCAGAGGCAGACCCAGGAAGTCTGACTCCACTCCAGCGGCAGCAACAACTGGATCGAAACGTGATGCATCCGCCCTGGAAGACGACGAACCCGCGAGCAAAAAGTCACGCAAGGCAATCAGCGACGAAGAGATGCAAGACCGTATCAGCGCGGATGAGCTTGGTGAAGTTGAAGAAGCAGGTCAGACTGCTCCGTTCACTCCTCAAGTATGGTTCCCAACTTACGTGTCAAGGATTGCTAGGGTTGTCTACCACTGTATCGCAGACGGATCAGCTGGAGGATTGACCGAAGACGAGTTGATGTCGCGTACTGGACTGCCATACACCGATATCAACGCTGGTATCATGCAATTGAGCGAAAAGGGAGGTATCATTCCCGCTATTGGTGATGATTCCAAGTGGACAGTGCTCGATGAGTGGGAGGATGAGGAGGAATGAGTTCGATGACCAATGTTTGCTTCCATCTTGGCTCCAAGCTAAGATGCTTTTTGTCCTTTGTTACGGCATCTCTAGTTGCTTTCGGTTTAAAGCATCATACATAGTTTTTGCATAAATTAGCATATGTGCACAGTATTACATAAGGTCCTCCACAGCTTTTTACACACGGCGTCCAGCACGCGTGCTTCAATCGCTCTTTCTTTATCAATCAATAGACTCAAGATGTCGGAATCACAAGGCTTACGAAAGCAGATCATAAGTGAGCCACTTGCGAACTTCATGGATGAGTATCGCAACCAACGACTCTCGTAGCCAATCTTGAGCATGTCGAGCTCGTAACACCAATTACCCGACGCAGCATCGTCGTCGAAGCATTCGAAAACGGAGGATACAATGCAATTCAATATCGCCGACGACGTTGGTCTGGATGTTCCTCAGCTCATGGAGTATGCCGAAGAGTTTGAGATGTTAGGGAAAGCCACACGAGAAAGCGATGATGGAGTCGTGTGGAATCCTAAGGATCTACCTGTTCTTTGATCGTGCACATCGCGCAAAGGTGAAGAAAATCCAGGCGCAGGAATCATCTCATCTTTTGCTGCCGCCTCTTTGCGATGCTAATCCAGCTCATGCAAACTTCTCAACGCTTCTATTACGTCCTCGATTGCTCTCCGTGAGTCCGATAGCAATACTAGTACTGAGCAGAAGCTCCTGATTCGCATCCACACAATGCTTTTCTATTGCAGGCTGAGGCATAAGTATCAACGGCAACGATTCACTACCTGCTTCGACCTTGTCATACAAATCCTCTCCACGATCATCCAACAAAAAAGTGCGAAAAGAAGTGTCGGGCAGCTGGTTTGAACACCAGCCGCATTGTTCCAAAGATTTGCGCACACTGCCCAAGGTCTCCTCCGCGCTATATCAGTTATTCATACGAAATTTCTGGTTTTTTTTTCTTTCTTTTTTGGGTTTTGAATTTGTGTCCTTCCCTTGGGCCAGTGGCAGGGAAGTTGAGACGTAGGTTGTATATAAAGGTTCGTGGTTGCTTGAGTGACATGGAAGAAAAGACGAAGGCTGGCTAATGTATGATTCTGTTCATGCGTCTCGGATCTTGGATGCGAACACGAGTGTAAATCGTGTCACATATCGTTATGATGGTCCTTCTGATATGATTGCTGTTTGCTATAAGCGAAATTCGACTGAATCATTCACCCAAGACTGAGCTTCGACACCATCGACGTGTTTTCCGCCTTCTTTGATTTCTTCGTCCCTTCCTTTGCACCAATTTGCTTGAGTTGTTTGCTCCTTCCACGAGCATCTGTGATTCAACGGGTGTACTACCACTTGCTTTTCAGCACTCGTCGCTACCGGAAGTTGACCTTTCATATTCTTTGTTCAGGAGATGACAGCTTAGATGACACGGCTGTCTGAGACAATCACTACGACATCCCTTGGAACTGCTAGTGACTGGACAACCACACATATAGTAGGTACGGCCTAGCTTTGCTGGACTGAATCGCAATGGACTTTCGTGGAAAGAACGATGACATGGGTTCAGCACCATCAAGATTTTGTATCTACACTTTCTTGTTCTCTCCAACCACCTCCTGATGCACAGCCTCAATCGAAGCAACCTTTTCCAAGCGCGCATTAACCACATCGCTCATTTCATCGTCGTCGAGAAGATGTCCGACTTCTTCGAGGGTGAGTCCACGAGTCTCTGGGAAGTACATATAGATAACCACACACTCAACGGCCAAAATGACGATGTAAACAAAGTAGAACTTCCATGCAATGCTCTCCAGGCCGATCGGATTGACGTATTGGTTCAACACCTAGAACTGTAATCAGTATCTCGTTCCGAGAATTATATCAGCAAAAGGAAGAAGACTCACCGATGCAAGAGATTGGAAGGCCATGAGCAATGCCATTCCCTTGGCTCTGATGTTGAACGGAAGAATCTCAGCAGGATACGCAACCGTCAAACCCGGCCATGCGAAGCCAGCCATACCATAGAAGAGAAAGATCATGGCCAACACTGCTTTGCCAGCTGCCTCGTTGCCAGTTTGACTGTACACAGCCGAACACGCCGTCCAAATGCTAAAAGTCACCAACATACCAACAGCAGCAATCAAAAACAATTTCCTTCGTCCGAGTTTGTCGACAAGCGTGACCGAAAACAGTACCGCAATCAGGAAGTTGTAGATTTGAAGACCACCGTTGAAAAGGGCTTGGTCGTAGGAATCAGTCATGCCGACGCTCTCGAGGATGTCGTGGAGGTAGTAAGATACCAGTCCGTTGCCAGAGCATTGAGAGAAAAAANNGGAGACGAGGGCGATGAGTGTGATGCGTCTTCTGTTGCCTTTGTTGCTGAGCATACCTTTCCAACCTTGCGTGGAGAATTCTTTTTCGGCGCGCAGAGTCTCGCGGATTTCGAGATATTCGCTTTGGACCAAAGGGTCTTGATCATTGCCATTTGCATGATACTGTTTTGTTCGATTAGCCAGATTTCAGTAAAGACGGTAAGTTGTGTTGGATACTGACTTTNNTGCGAGGACTTTCAGAGCTTGTTCGTGGCGGTCTTTGGAAACGAGCCATCTAGGACTCTCGGGAAGGAGCCAAATACCTNNGGAGTTCAGCATATCAGCAGGCCGTGAAAGTAGTATAAAAGGTGTTTATCACGTACCGACCAACTGAATCAATGGCATGACTGCCTGAACAGCTGTGGGAATTCTCCAAGCCGCACTTGTGGTATAAGTCGTTGTCCCAAAGACAGTCCAAGCGGCTACGATTGCGCCAACACACCAAAGCGTATTGTACATTGTTGTAACCTTGCCTCGGTGAGCGGGATGGGCGAGTTCCAAGATGAGGAGCGGTGCTGAGCCTTGGGCAATGTTCGATCTAGAAAGGATTGTCAGTGGTATTCTGAGAGATATGATAATGGTGGTCACTAACCCCATGCCGACCAAGAATCTACCACCGATGTACATGCCTGTGTCTACTGTCGGGACGACTTGAAGGATGACACCGATGAGCAGAACAACCATGCCCACCGTGATGCCAGCCCTGCGACCGAGAAGATCCGCAAGATATGATGAGAAGAAGATGGCACAGAAAGATCCAACTTGCAATATAGCGCTGAACAGACCCAGAGTGCTACCACTGGGATTGTTGAAGTAGGTTTGCCAAGGTTCCATCGTTTGCAGTCCATTCAGCAGACTGCCATCATATCCATTTGTCGTGGCACTGAGAAACGGAATGATAATCATAGCATAGAGCTTGAGCAAGCCGGCATCTTTGTACCATGCAGCAGGAGGAGTCAAGTCGAAGGCCGGTTGTTCGGGATTGTCGACCTCTGCTTCATGTTTCATTGCAGTGCTCTTGTCAAGAATCTTGGGCGCCATGATGAATTGGAGATGTTCGTGCTGATCTGGAATGTCTATACCAGATTACTGGGCAATCGCCATCTTATATGACTTGCCATCTTGGCTGCCATAACAATGTGGCTTGAAGGATTCAATTCTTGACTCTTGAGTTCATGATCAAGCCGAGGATGCTACGTTATTGTGGCACAGATCTGCATATGCATACCAGTAGTCGCCTTGGCAAGGTGTCGATCATGGGGACCCCATGGGCAGATTCATAGAGCAATATCGGGGAGCCAAGGGTTTGACTCGTGCCGATGTCACCATGTTGAGTAACTCCAAGTGTAGATCATCGTGGTTCCAATCCCATGCAGAAGGGGTCCTCGGCAAGCCTTCCAAAGAGCAGGAGACATGGAAAGAGCGGCATTCGACGCCGGCGAAGAACGGCATGGTGCCCGACTCGAGGGACAAGTGGGGCACAAACCCCGCCGGATCCTGCATCGCACTTGACCTTTAGCCACAAACACAGTGTGCTCTCATTGTGCATTTTCCCGGTACTGCCAGCAGGGAACATGGTGAAAAGCAAGATTCTCGCAGCTCATGCTTTGCAGCATGTCGCCGCCCATCAAGCATGACTACCAAACCCCAAATACCGCATCTCCGTGACACCGCAACGTCAAAACAACTCATCGTCAATGGAAAGCCGTTCCTCATACTCGGCGGAGAGCTACAGAATTCTTCATTCAGTTCTGTCGAGTATATGAATGAGGTATGGTCAAGTCTGGTTGCCAATAACTACAATACGATCTTGGGAAGTGTTGGCTGGGAACAGATCGAGCCACACGAAGGCACTTTCGACTTTGGCGTTCTGGATGCACAGATTGGAGCTGCCCGTCGTTGGGGATTGCGGATCGTTCTGTTGTGGTTTGGGAGTTACAAGAATGGTAGGATGGCTATCACGCCTGTTATATTGTGAGAGTTGTTGACCGTAGTCTTTCAACAGNGCCTTTCATCGTACACTCCGGTATGGGTCAAGCAAGACGACAAGCGGTTCCCTCGAACCAAGCTCAGAGATTCCACAGGCAACCTCATCACTGGCGATGTCCTGTCCGTCTTCGGCGAAGAGAGCATGGGTGCAGACGCAAATGCATTCACGCAACTCATGCGACATCTCAAGCAGATAGACGGCGACCACTCTACCGTAATAATGGTACAAGTAGAGAACGAAGTCGGTGTCCTTGGAGACTCGAGAGACCGCAGTGCAGCCGCCGAAAAGGCATTCAATGCTCCAATGCCAGCAGAGATGATCCAATTCCTAAACAGCGAGTGGGCAAAGAAGACATCTAAATTCCAAGTCAACTTCAAGGACATTGAGACCAAGACTTTTTCTCCAGAGATATCCTGGGCAGATCTCGGTGGTACAGAAGAAAGGGTCAATGAACTTTTCATGGCTTACCACTACGCACGCTACCTCGAGAACATCACCTCTGCTGGCAAGAAGGAATACCCACTTCCAATGTACACCAACGTATGGCAAAACTACGCCGATGAAGATGCAGATATAAATGCACCCACCATCGCCGGCGGCGGAAACCTACCCGGCGACTACCCCTCAGGAGGCGGCGTAACCGACGTCCTCGATATCTGGCAAACCTTTGCACCATCTCTCGATATCATCGGCCCTGACATCTATCTCAACAACTACACAGCTTCGTGTGCAAAATACAGACACAACAATCAAGTCCTCTTTATTCCAGAGCAACGGCGCGACGATTACGGTGCCTTGCGTGTTTGGGCAGCATTCGGTTCATACCAATGCATTGGCACAGCACCGTTTGGTGTTGACACGATTCACTACACAGACAGCCCCTTTACAGCAACTTATGGCTTGTTGGCAAAAGTGTCTCGCCATATATTGACCGCACAAGCAAAAGGCAATGCAAGCGTCGGGTTCTTCTTTGATGACTTGTCCGCAGATGGTAAAGATAACTCGCAACCAATCTCAGCCGAATTCGGGCCATGGAAGCTCACCATCGAACGTTCTTTTGTTTTCGGTAAGCCGTCGGCTGGCGCAGGAATGGTAATCTATCTCGAAGGAAAAGACCAGTTCCTTCTGATAGGATATGGTTTCCAAGTCTCGGTCCAGTCATCAAACCCGAAAGCGCACTTTACTGGCATTCTCAGATTCGAGGAATGTGATATCTCGAACTATGAGACAGGCGAGCTGCGGACATTAAGGCTGCTGAACGGGGATGAGACAAGAAGTGGCAAGTCTTGTGTCATGCCGAATGTGAACCCAGATTATGGCGGGTTCCCTATCAGTATCACTATCCCTGGAAGGACTGGCATTGCCATGTGTCAACCTTATGCTTTGTTGAACTAATCAAATTGAGTCCTGGACATTCTTCCATACAAAAGTCCTCATACATCAGTGTCATCGCATCATATATCCGTCGTAATTCAGTTGTCAGCATCAGCCTCCGAAACACAAGGCACACCAATATCCCCCTTGATATTATTGCACACAACCTCTGCTGTGCCATTTGGACTGGTCAACTCAATCCCCTGTAACTCGATTCCACTACAAGTGGCGCCGGGACTACAAGTCAGGTCTGCAACCACTCTGTTGTCCTTTCCTGATGAAGAGCCGGTGAAGTTGATAAACTTGACGTTGGTGATGTTGACATTTGAGGGGTAGGCAGCGCATGTTGTCTCGTTGATATTGAAGTAGCACTGGTCAAGGACGATGGGGGCGTCGGTATTCTCGATGTGCACATTTTCATAGGTGATGTTGTCGATGTAGCCGTATCCTACTGATGGTCCTGCCCACGCCNNCTAGACTTTGTAAGTATACTTCTGTGTGATGAACGTTGGTTGGACTCACTTCAGTCTAGCGCCGTTTTGGCCATTGAGCAGGGTGATGTTCTTCATGTAGGCGTTCGAGATATAGTCTTTGACACCAGGATATTGGCCGATCGAGCCCATTGACACACCATGAGTACCATTGCACCACAGATTCTCAACGTAGATATTGGTAGTGTTCGGCTTGGGTGAAAAGCAGTCATCACCCACATTGACACGGGTGTTGGTTACGGTCAGGCCGTCGACACTCAGCGAATCGAAGCCGTCAGTGTTCTTTGGAAGAGCCNNTAGCAAGATCAGTACTATCTCACAAGTCTAGTATGAGGAGACACTCACTGAAGCGTTGTTGCTGAATGCCTCAATATATACGTTGTCGAATGAGACGTCCTTGGTACGGACCAGGAAAGTTGTCCAGCATGGGCTGTTCAGGAAGGTTATACCCTCAACATCAACGTTGGTGGCATTGTCGGTCAGGAAGAGGATGGGTCGGTAGTAAGTGTTGCTAGCGTCCTGCTCGGAAATTAGTGATGAGCTTGTTAGCATTGTGATGGAACCACGACGCACCAGAATCTCACGGCCAGCGAAGCCGTTGTACCAGGCCTGTCCGTTTCCGTCCATCGTGCCCTTGCCATAAATCTTGATGTTCTTACCACTCCAGACCATGAAGGTGATGCTCTTCTGGAAGGGGTAGTAGAAGTAGTTACTCTGCCAATATTCGATGTCATCGGTGAACNNTGTATTGATCGCGTCAGACAGGAAGCTGTACGATTTATCGTTATTGCTCACCTTCAAGGTACCATCGAGCTTGACGTACACGTCATTGAGTACAGGTAGATCAATCTTCTTGCCAATGATGTATGTCTTTCCTTCCTCAAGATGCACAAGTCCACCATCTTGTGCTTGTTCGAGAGCCCACACAAAGTCTGCCGAGACATCGTCGGTATCGTCTTCGGACGCACGAATAGTAATCTTGCGGCGATCTTCTTCGACACTATTGCCCCAGCGATCTTTCCGGTTCCAGCCAAAGTATGGTCGTCCCTTGTGTCTCCAAGGTTGTGTGATAGATGCTCCATCTGGGATATCGAAGGCGGCAGCGGACGTGATGGCCGTAAGGGCAACCAGCAGACAAGAAGACACCCTCATGATGGCAATGGAGTGGGCGACTAGGCCTCGACATGTCCACGCGGGCTCAGGGCTGATTAAGTAGCCAGTCCTCTGACCCTCGATTGAGCAAGGACAAGGTTGAGCAACATTTTTCCATCTTGGCTATGCAAGACCGACAGCCAAGGCGGAGAATAGGTGATGAGAAAGAATTGAGGTCCTCTGTCATCTAAGTGATGCTGACGTCGCTTGACCACATTGCTAGTAAACATGAAGTGGTCGTTGCGGGGTGACCAGCCAAGACACTGATGCATGATGCGGAGGTGGCAGGAAAACACCCATCACCGCATGGTTGATGGTCCTTGGTTCTCAAAGTTTTTCCGCCAATACAATGACATGCCTTGACTCTTGATATGAGTCTATACCGGCTGATATCCAGTCATGTGGGGTCAATGGTATGGGGCTCCACATAAGGGATCGGCCGGGGAAGTGGGCTGGTGATCGTCAAGGTTGTCGGCTTTCCGGCCCAAATCGTTCCGCATTTGTCGTCCATTGCGGATTCCTTCGAAGGAGCCCAATCCAACCCCAGTCTTCTGAGTTTCTCAATTGACATTTTTCTACGTTGACTCTCAACGAGATTTACGAGTGCTGAATGAGATACATGGTGAATTTTGTCTCGCAAGAATCTCAAAGAAACATCTAGTTCTTCTTGAAGATATGGTTGAAACCATATACGATGTTATCGGCCTGGGCTCTCGCACTATGCTCATAGTCGAATGCCTTGACAAGACCGACGAAGTGAGAGGTCGCAGCAAGTAAAACCAGGACGTGGAAAATCTGATGAGAACTGCCCCAGATGTCGAAAGAACCAGGCTTCAGGCGCTCTGGGAAACGTGCCTGTAGCTTATCAGCACAATTCTACGACAACACTTTTTGAGGTAAACCTACTGCATAGATTGCGGCACCAGAGATATACAAGACTCCTTGCAAGACCAGCCAAGAGAGGCCCATCTGTCGCTCAAGTTGACCGACTCCGAATAAGAAGATGCCATGCAGCACTGGGATAACAGCACTTGCACCCATTGCAACGAACATGCCGGCGCGGAAAGGACGCCACTTGGGCGTTCTGAAACTGGGCATAATGGACACAGTCGCACAGCCGATGCCAATGAGTGTGATCNNTATGACGGTCAATGACTATGCAATCATGTGGGACAAGACGACACTTACCATTGACCAGTACACAGCAATATATCCTGGCTCTCTGGCAAACCCATAGAAGATGCTGGGGATAAAGCTGCCCCAAATTAAACACACGATGCCGACATAGTCCAGCTGGTTTCCAATCTTGTTGACTTTGGGTGAGTGGTTGGAAATGGTGTGGTAGGTGGCACTCATACCCAGACAAGCAATGGCACCACCAAAGAAGCATCCAAAGACGATCACGTCCTCTCTGCTCGCTCTGTCATATCGCGGCTTAATGAGCGAATGCAAATAGATAGAGCAGACCAAGGAGACAAGAGCTCCGAGAAGATGAGTGTAGATGTTTACAGTCTCATTATGAATATAAGACAAGGACATGAATGAGCGATGAAATGAGTTGCTTGCTGGTCGGTAGCCAGATTGAATGTAGTGATTGTCTTGTTGCCACGACGGTAGATCTGACCAAATGACGGTCAGGGCATGGGATATCTTCTTCTCGGCCTTTGTGACGATGTCGTTTTCTTCTACTTCGTTCTGTTCCTGGATGGACGTGAGAGGTGTGGGCTTCCGATGATTCATTTCTGTATAAGATCCGGTATATCCAATATGAGTTCTGTTGATGTTCAAGCGAAGCGATGTCACGATCTGGAGGAATCGCTGTTTGAGATGGATGGTAGTTATGATTGAGAGATGGTTGAAGATTCTCAACAGAAAGACGAGCGGGTTTCAAGAATGCACGACAAGAGAAAGAGAAAAGCAGGCTGCAGTCTCGATGGATGGTGCCTGATCACGAATGCAAGAAGCCCAACGATTATCCAGGCAGTCACAGTGGACTGATATATCTGGCGTTCGTAAGGAAGGAAGGTTTCGCAAGACTTTCCTCCTTTGGGAAGGGCCGCGACCTACGTCAGCGTAAACAAGCAGCAGCCCGTCCATCGCAACGACAACAACTTTGATCAGCAAACATGTCATCCTCGAGTACACGACCGCCAGCCCGGCGAGGGCCTTCGGGTGCCTGGGGTCGACTTCGCCAACCGCAAATTGACCCTCTGGAAGTCTACGGTCTGCCCTCGAAAGGCGAGACAAGGTATACTCTGCTTGATCCTTCGTCTTTCAACCTAGCCTTCTGACATGCATGAGCAAGGCTAGCGGACCTCAAGACGCAAGAGACATACTTCGAACGCATCGTCGCCCGCTACATGAAGTTCTGCGCCTCCCACTCCAGCGGCGAAACACTCGAGGCCGCCTTCCACAACCTCGACATCAACTCTGCGTCTACGCCTTCCACACCGATAGCTACCAATGTAGCGAAGCCACAACCTCACTCTACTACTCAGCAACCTCCACAAGAAATGTCCATAATCCTCATGGCCATGCGAAAGCTCCGCGAAGCCCTCGTATCCTGCCATCGCGTCGATGCCTTTGCCCGGAGAGTCTACACCTTCCAAATCCGCGCCGCAATCCTCTGCAGACACCTCGAGACCTACCATCCAGCACTACAATATCTCCTCTACAAGATCCACCCACGGACCCCTCTGTCGCGACCCGAGTTGCAAGAGTTTGCGAGCTACCTGATTCTAGATCTTGCATGCAGGCAGGGTGAATTTGTGGACGCATATCGCCTGAGGAAGGCATATGGGATCCGAGATCGCAAAGTGGATGCTGTATTGAAGGCATTGGTGCACGATGACTGGGTCTTGTTTTGGCGAACGAGGAGGGCGGTGGATGGATATCAGAGGTGTCTGGTGAGTTGGGCTGAAGATGGCGTGAGGTTGCATGCCTTGAAGTGCCTGGGCAGGAGTTATATGATGGTGGACAAAGCCTTCGTAGAGAGGAGTGCTGAGAGAGGGTGGGATGAGCTGGTCGAGAGGGACAAGGTCGGATGGATTCTGAGGGATGACGGAGTGGTGGTCATCAGGAAGCCCAAGGGAACCTGATGTTGCCGGCATGTCACGAAGTTATGACTGGATGGATTGATGGCGTAAGATTTGCATTGAAGGCATTGTATGGGTATGGCCCTGCATGATGGGTATGAGTAGAGCAAGAAAGCCACAATTGTGTATGACCTTCATCTTCCTCAATAATCGTCTCCATCACCACCACCATCATCTCCACCAAACTCATCATCGTCTCCACCGTCAAAGTACTGCTCTGCATTATAGTCGTCGTTGTCGTCTTCATCATCCTCGTCGAACTGATCCGGATCCTCCTCTTCCTTGTCCTCATCCTCTCCCTCCACTTTATCTTCATCTCCAGCATCGTCCGCATCAGCATCTTCATCGTCATCAAGCTCCGTATCGAATCTATCCAACCTCGTCCTCGTACTCAGATTCAACACCTTTCTCCTCTGTCCTCTTGCCCCTCCACACTCCCCGGCTCGACAATCGCCCACAATTCTTCCGGAAAGAATGATTTCACAAATGGTCTCGAAGACAGTTTTGGCAGTGTATTCTTCTTTTTCGTGTAGCGTTGCGAGTACGTCGGCATCGATTCGAATGGATCATAATGCGCGGTCGGCGGACTCTTTCTTCCGGATTTGTGTACGCGAGCAGAGGAGTCGAGGATTGCGTAGAATGGGCCGTCGTGGATTCTTGCGCGGAGGGTGCGGTAGTGGGATACTAATTGGCGTTCGTGGTGCGAAGGTGGTTCGGCGATTGGTGGTTGGATTGGCTGGTGCAAGTGTTAGTGGTGAGTGAACGAAGAGGAGAGGACAGAGAGGGAAGACAATACGGGAAACTTTTCGCTCGGCTTGGTGTTTAGTTTTCCTTCGAGCTCTGGGTCGTATTCCCAGGGGAGAGCTTGGCCGCCCATTTTGCCCAAGTCGTTCTTTCCACCGCCGCCGCCCCAGCCGCCTCCTCTTGACATTGTGGTGGTGTGTGTGTTGTGTGTATCTTTTTGTGGTTGCGATCGACTCCGTCTATGCGACTTGGCTTATGCGATATGGATTGCGACTTCGAGTTGGATGTCCGATGATGTGTCAGAGGGTTCGATGTATCGAACTTATGGCGGTGGTAGGATGCGACAAGAAGGCCGATGGTCTTGCAAATAAGTGATTTCGAGGGACTGGTAAGTATGCGATCCGGTATTACTCCATGTAAGATGTCGAAAGTGCAGTGAGTATGAGTTAGCGGCCGCGGCTGCCTTGCGCAAGGATTCAAAAGTTGCTGGTCAAAATTTTGGTTCGCGGGGTGGGGGACCCTGACTTGCGATATCCATTTCTGGACATCCAGAAAGTCTGCGTACGTTATGCTGGAACGAGATTTTAGTTTAGTCTGTCTGTATTATAGTTTGGCCATGGTTATCACGACGACACTGGGGTTTACGTATTCCTAAGAGGCCAGGTTTTCCTCGAAGACGTACACATTGTCGGAACCTCAATCGAAGGTCGTATAGATATGCCTGCCATAAGCGAAGATGAGATGTACAAAAAAAGGATCGACTTTACTTGTCTAAAGTAAAATACATAATGCCGTTGAACCATTCCAACGAAGAAAATTGATATAATAAACGCCGCATATTTACACCACTCAACGCACCTCGTTCTCTGCATCGTGAATATTGTTGTTGGGACGATGGATCTGCCTTATCATCTATCGACCTCACCAAAGACCAGATCCCTACGGCGCAAATGACGTTAGTATAGTGTTCGGCAATGTATGTGTGTGGTTTGGTTCGGCTTGGGATAAGAGAAGGAGAGGGTGAGGAGGAAGAGGGAGAAGGCGGGATGGTGGGAAGCGGGGTTAAACTTACATAGTACCGATGATGGCGACAGCATCGGCCAACAAGTGACCTCTTGAGATTTGATCAAAGCATCCCAAGTGGGCAAATCCAGGGGCACGGATCTTGCATCTGTAGGGTCTCTCGGAACCGTCCGAGACAACAAAGACGCCCATCTCACCCTTAGGGGCCTCGATGGCAGAGTAGGTCTCGCCGGGAGGAACGGTGTAACCCTTGCTGTAGAGCAAGAAGTGGTGAATGAGAGCCTCCATGTTCTCCTTCATGGCAGCACGTGGGGGAGGGGCAATCTTGTAGTCCTCGACCTTGATGGGTCCAGGGGTGATCTTGTTCAAGCACTGGAAGATGATGCGAAGCGACTGGCGGAATTCCTCCATACGGCAGAGGTAGCGGTCGTAGCAGTCACCATTGACACCAACGGGCACGTCGAACTCGACCTGGTCGTAGGCGTCGTAGGGCTGAGACTTGCGGATATCCCATGGGACACCGGAGCCACGGAGCATGACACCAGTGAAAGAGTAGTTGAGAGCATCAGCGGCGGAAACGACACCGACACCCTGGGTACGGCCCTTCCAGATGCGGTTGTCGGTCAAAAGCTCCTCAGTCTCGTCAATGCGGTCACCGAATTGAGTGGCCCATTGGTAGATATCGTCAAGAATACCAACAGGGAGATCCTGAGAAACACCACCGGGACGGACGTAAGCAGCGTGGAGACGAGCACCAGATACACGCTCATAGAACTCCNNTGTGGCAAATTGTCAGTAAGTGTGCCACGTTAAAATAAGAGCATTCGCACGCACCATGAGCTTCTCACGCTCTTCGAACCCCCACAGGAAAGGAGTCAGAGCACCAACATCCATGGCGTGGGAGAGGATAGACATGAGGTGGTTCAGAACACGGGTAATTTCACCGAACAGAGTACGGATCCACTTGGCGCGCTCGGGAACCTCGATGTTGAGCAGCTTCTCGACGGCCAGGGAGAAACATTGCTCGTTGGTCATCATGGAAACGTAATCGAGACGATCAAAGTAGGGCAAGGCCTGGAGATATGTCTTGTACTCGATCAACTTCTCGGTACCACGGTGCAACAGACCAACGTGAGGGTCTGCGCGGACAATCTCTTCACCATTGAGCTCGAGAATCAAGCGCAACACACCGTGGGCGGCGGGATGCTGGGGACCGAAGTTGACAGTGTAATGGCGGATCTTGCGTTGATTCGGGTCCTCGTCGGCATCGTTGGCCAAGTTGACGTTCGAGTTGTCGGCATTCTGGGAACCAGGAACGAAGTTGGGGTCGACGGGAATGAGGCGAGTAGCATTGGGGTTGTCAATTGGGGCGGCGAAGTGACGGGGGAGAGAGGTCGACAGCGAGCGGAAGGTGGTCGAGGGGCGAGGCAGGGCCGGACGCTGGTAGAGTCGCCTGGATGCGATACGAGCAAAGTTGGCTGCCATTGTGTCGCAATAGGAGAGGCAGACAGGGAGTGGAGAGGTTGTAGGGCGGACGCGAAAGGTGAAGGCGTGGACTCTTGAGCTGCGGGCAATCAACGACGCATCGACAGACTTTCCTTTGGTCATCAGCCCTCCGCTCCGCTCCGCTCCGCTCCGCCCTCTAGATTCTTGGCGTACTGCCTGCGGCCGTGCTTCCAGAATTTCTTCGAGCTTGACTGACGCTGTTTGAGAAAAAGTCGAGTCAATCAACCATGTCGGCCAGATCATTCAAGCAGCCCTCGCAGGAGGAAGTCCAGAGACGAAGAGTACGCGACTCGTCCCATGTGCATTTTCAGGCACTAATCCTGGTGTAGCTCATTGGCATCAATCCCGAGACCGTCTCAAGTGTCGTCTCTACCGATTTTCCTGGCCACTACCCCGGCGAGGACAACTCGTGGAACCTCGACTCCTTCAAGCAGGTACGCCTTGCCCCTTTCCAGTCCAATCGCATCTCTCTCTGACCGTCTTCAAGANAGCTCCAAGTAGACTTCCACAAGAATGACCAGTACGATTCCGTCTTTTCGCTCGTCGGCATCGATGCCTCTGTCGCAAACGCATACCGCCGTATCATGCTGTCCGAAATCCCCACTCTGGCCATAGAAGACGTCTTTGTCTACGACAACACTTCCATCATCCAGGACGAGGTCCTCTGCCACCGTCTTGGTCTTATTCCCTTCACTGGCTCTCGTGAAGGTCTCCGCTGGATGCAATGGTACAAGAAGGGCCCTCCCAAGGACGATCCCGCTCAACAGCACATCTTCCAGCAGTCTGGCGAAGTCATTGACCCCAACGCTTCCGTTCCTCGCGACAACAACACCATCGTTCTCGAGCTTAACGTCACTTGCGAATGGCGTCAAGAAGGCAAGGAACTCGCAAGACAAGGAGAGCGCGACCCCAACAAGCTCTACATCAACAGCTCCGTCTACGCCCATCAATTCCAGTTCCACCCTCAGGGCCAACAATCCGAATACTTCACCGGCCCCGATGCCATCCGCCCTGTCAACCCCGATGTCCTGATCGCAAAGCTGAGACCTGGTCAAACTATCCACCTGCAGTGCCACTGTATCAAGGGCATTGGAGCCGACCATGCCAAATTCTCTCCCGTCGCCACTGCTTCATACCGTCTTCTACCATCCATCAACATCAAGGAGCCCATTCTTGGTGCAGACGCAAAGAAGTTTGCTCGCTGCTTCCCCCGTGGAGTTATCGCATTGGAGGACGACCCGGCCTCGGGCGAAAAGAAGGCTGTTGTTGCAGACCCAATGAAGGATACAGTTTCGCGAGAGTGTCTTCGTCACGACGAGTTCAAGGAAAAGGTGCAACTCGGCCGTATCCGCGACCACTTCATCTTCAGTGTTGAGAGCACTGGCCAGATTGATAGTGACGAGGTCTTCCTGGAGTCTGTCCGCGCACTCAAGATCAAGTGCGAGCGTTTCAAGAGAAACCTGAACGACTTGATGAGGTAGCCTGAGAGCTAGCTTTGAGAAATGGGGCGTTCATGGGTCTGTAAAAAGAATGGGTTGGGTGTTTAATTTGCCGGGTTTTGCGCGCATAGCATTGGCGTTCTCATTCTGGGTGATGTATATTCACACGGTTTCAAAATATCCTTGGGTGGTCAAAAGAGCTTTAGAACGATGTATTACAATCATGTTGATTTGTTGCTCTGCTCCTGCCAAGATTATTCGATCATTCCTCGGTATGATCATGATAATCATCGCCAATTCATGTTTCTGGAGCAACCCTGGCATCCTTGCGCAGGCCTTTCTCTACCATGCTAAAAAGGTCACGACCGATCTTGTAGCTTTCGTAAATTCTCAATCAGCTATGTGCCTGTCCGTTCGGCCACACTGCTAGCGATTTGTCACCTCATTCGCATGGTTGCTATGAGAAAAGAAAGATGGTGGTAAATCTCAGCACATGAATCAGGAACCATCGTTCGGCCACCATGGTATCTCAAGTCGAAGCATGCTTACGAAGTTGACACATGATCTCTTTCCTATCTAAACGTATCTCTGGCACATATCGTACACGCTGCATAGACAACTTGTGCTATCAGCGATTGTTATGAAGAAACCCCTCCTGTCACGGCTGCGGGTTGGAGGCTGAGAGACAAGGATGGCATCCGACCGTTGAGCCGGCCGTAGTATTGATAACAATAGCATGCGAGTTGCGACAATGAGAAACAGTGTCCAAATGTCAATATATCGACGTCAATCCTGTCTCACAATCCAACAGACAGTTCTACCTTGTCGTAGAGGGTGGTCAGGCAGCCGCGGAGGAGATTGAAAGTGCTTTTTTCTTCGGATCAGGTCTTTCTTGACTTCTCGGCCAGAGCGTCCCCGGACAACAACGCTAAGGCTGCTCGTGCATGTGGCAGGTAAACACTGTGCACAACACTGCGAACCTGATCTCATCGACATCACACCCAGCGACCCCTCAGCGACACCCAGCGACCGACACGACAACACCCGAGACAGCGCCGCGACGACTGACATAGCATTCTTACACCGCCCTCACCACTCACCGATATCCTGTCTGCTGCCCCGCCTCCCAACGAGCCTGGGTGCGCAGATTCTCGCCATATCGCAATTGTTGCCCCTCAACAGTAAACACCCGGATATGACATCTTGATCTGCTCTCCACAATAAGCGCACAACAATATGAGCAACCCACCATCCTCACCCTTCCGCCATGGCACCACTGTCGAGCAAGAACTCGCATACTACAAGGCACAATATGAACAANCTCGAAGTCGAATTACAGGAGTTTCAACAGTCTAGTAGAGAGCTTGAAGCCGAGCTCGAGAAGGACGTCGAGGCATCCGAGAAGAGAGAGCGAAAGCTGAAAGAACGGGTCGAGAGTCTAGGCTTCGAGGTCGAAGAATGGAAGGTGTGACTGCTCGTTTTCCGCCCTTTACGTGTGCCCATACTGACCAGCTGGTACAGACCAAGTACAAACAATCGAAGGTCGAGGGCAATTCGGCGCAAACCAAACTACAGAAAGAGATTACAACTATGCGCGAGACCAATCGCGCGCTGCAGCTGAAACTCAGGGACATTGAAGTGGACAACGACGACTATGAACGCCAGGCTCGCAACACAACCTCATCGCTAGAAGAACTCGAAACCAAGTACAATGTCGCAATTGAGAGAGGCGTCCTCATGGAGGAGGAAATGCGCGCCGGCGAGCAGGAACGAGAAGACTTACGCATCCAGACACAACGACTCCGTGATGAGTTGTCGGACCTTCGCATCGAGGCAGACATCACTCGCGAGAAGTTACGCCTGTCCGAATCAGGTTCCCGCCGTTACCGCGACCTGACTCCCGTACGTCGTCCGTCGGCACTGCACACCCGCTCGCCCACTTCGTCGCGCACTGCTGCCTCGTCGCCTACCGTCTCCACCCCTCCGCCAGTCAGATCCGAAATGTCCACACTCTCAGACACTCCCACACCGCCATCTCCGCCCCTTTCAGACGCATCTGGAAACCCAATGTCCAAGATGCTCCCTCCTCCAAGGAAGAACCCCCTCGTACCAGATTCGACTTCGACTCCCCGCGCCAGTCTCAACGTGAACACCGTCAGACCTGCCCGCCACTCACGCGGTCCATCATATGCGACTAGCACAACTCCTTCAGGAAAACGACGCACAACTCTGCAATCACGACCTAGTGTTGGCTCAGAAGGCGTTCCAAGATCAAGTTCCCTGTATCAGATTAAGGGCTTGATCGGCAGAATGCAGAAAATCGAAGAAAGAGTACACTCGGTTCGTTCAAAGTTGCCGCCCACGAGTGCAAATACTCCGAGAGCAGCAGTCACACCGAAAGGATCGCCTCGGATCGGCGCGCTCACCGGTGGCTCATTCATGCCCAACAGTATTACTGTCAGAAACAGGACCAATCGCACAAGCAACAGCACAAGCTCATCCACAAGGCAAGAAGATAGCAAGTTACCACCGCCAACACCAAGATCGACGAGCACAAGTCTACACGTCAAGCAGTTGTCACTTGGCGGTCAGCGACCACATCCACTGGAAAGATCCAGTACATCCATCACATCAACATCCACAGCCACCCGAGAGTCTAGCCGCCCAAGCAGCCGGGCCAACAACGTGGNNGGGGAGACTGGATCGTTCGCTCGACCACCCTCGCGATCGGCTAATGCGCCATATGGTCAATCACAAAATTCCGTCCTCCCTTCAAGGCCTCGCACTTCGATGGGAGGAACTTTCGCATCATCACAGCGCAACCGGGTGCATCGTCAGTCTAACAGTGTGTCTGAGGCAAGAGATGCTGAAGAAGTAGTCACACCTACCATCAAGAGAACAGTAACAGCAATTGGCGGGAGTGGGATTCCAACACCAGGTTTGAAACGGCAGAGTGGAACAGGCTTCGGGCACAGCGTTTCTGGCCGCCGGTCAAGCCTTGCGCCAAGTCGTCAATCAGAACACTCGTATGATGGTGCGGCGTCTGACAAGTCATCTCGAAAGCTGAGCGACTTGGGAGAAACATTCTAGTCATGATTACGATGTTGGGTCTTTTGCTTTCTTCACGGTGTTGCAGGTGTCAGAGAGGCTGGATATTTCATTGCTGTACATGTGGCTGCATTCTGTCGATACGATCCATTCCGAATTAGAGACTCACATGAATTAATGCGCCTATCCACTCTCTCCATTCAGACAGTGGTGGGAAATTCTCCGAAACATGCGTTCCCGAGAGATCCTTTACCGTGGTTGTAATCATCGAGTTAAAGCTCCGAAGCTTGCCAAGACTGATGGTCGTGGTACAGCATCTAGAACGATAAGCCACGGGTATCACGAACGGCACTGCTGATCGAGAGGGAACAGCTTATCAGTACCATAGAGAGAAGGCCATAGAATAGACCGGGACTTTGATATGGCAAATGGCTCGTCTCCAAAGCGAGGCAAGAGATGAGCAACAGTGGACATGGTTGATGGAATGTTCGGCTCTCCACGAGAGATTCTCGGACCCCGATGAGCATCGGTCGGGAAAGGGACAGAGATCAAGCCAAAATTCTCCGTACCTTGCGGTAAATTGGTGCTAAAATTAATAACCCGCACACTACGAGGGCGCTACTGTGAGCTTGTAGTTGGGGCTTATGTGGACATGCTACCATCAAATCTGAAGCAAAGAATAATGTCTGAGATGTCGAGTTTGAACGAAGGATGGGGTGAGAAACGTCTGACTGCGGTGATCGTCAAAGATAACAGAGCCAGCTTGTTGCGTGCCACTTCCATTGGGATGCAGCTTGTCTACGCTGGGCCGTTGAGTTCTTGATGGGTTGGCTGAGGATCAATAGTGTTGTCCCCAGGCATGCAGTCCGAGAGCTCAACACATGCACCGTCTGCGTGTCATCAATGAATACCTCTTTGAGAGAGCGAGAGGCGTGCGGGCGGCCCCGTACTCTTGTGTTGCCGGGAGCAAGCATGGAGCTCCGGACAAAGGTGGTGAAGCTAGCGCTTGTTGGCACAGCTCAACTGGCCGCCCCCTCGTGCCGAAGGTGTAGCATATAGGTAGCAAGGCCATCACACCATGTACAAGTAGAGAAGCACTCGCTCAGTCTCCCAGACCGACCCTTCGAACCCTCCTTTCCCTCGTCGTCTCCCTTTGCCCCGTCGCCTTGTCGTCGCTGGTCGAACTACCGTGGGACCAATTTCCCAGCAGCTCCAGACTAGCCTCTTTTCAGTTCTATGAAGGACGCATAGACTCGGTGACCTTCCGGACAATTGCTAATACCAACCCCCAACACTCGCCCGACGCACCAACGCCGACGAGGTATTTGAAGGCCGCAAGCCGCTGATCGCCAGTCACACGCGACCACTTTCTTCTTGTTTGTTCTTTTTGTTTCTTGATACCCAAAGGTCGGAGTTCTTGCTCAGAACAACTGGCCTCCGAGTCCCGAGCAGCTCAGTACCGGGCCGGCATTAGCTTCTTTCTTTCTCCGCACTCTCGGCCCTCTTTTCAAAGTCTCGCTGTGCAGTTCCGTGAATGGGCCTTCCAACCACAACCATGGCGGACGCAGTGGGAGGAGCGCCAGCGGTAAATGGCAACATGAACGGACAACCAAGTTCCTACGCCTCAAAGTTCAACTTGGCTTCACACTTTATTGGCGGCAATGAGCTCAGCCAGGCTCCCCCTTCATCAGTCAAGGATTTTGTCGCCGCAAACGACGGACACACGGTCATCACCAATGTAAGTGACAGACTCCTCCAGGGGCATCCTGGCACCTCCAGGGACCTCCAGAGGCCCCAATTCAAGCTCCAAAGCATGCTGACAGCCCGTCTGTAGGTCCTGATTGCAAACAACGGTATCGCCGCCGTCAAGGAGATCAGATCCGTCCGAAGATGGGCGTACGAGACCTTTGGCGACGAGCGTGCCATCCAATTCACCGTCATGGCCACCCCTGAGGACTTGGCTGCCAACGCCGACTACATCAGAATGGCAG